AGAGTTAGGGGCCTGACTAGTCTCTGAACCCTTAGCTGTATACAGCAAGTGGTTGTATGTGTAGAGCTGGGCTTCCAGGAAGCACAGGGAGCCCTGGGGCCTTTGCCTTCTTACAGCAGATCTTAGGGTGCAATAATTGAGGGTTGCCCATGAAATCTACTCCAGGTTAGGATATAACATTCTCCTTGTTGGGTACCTGTGCTGTGCTGGTTGGTCCCTGTGCAGGACCCAGATGTAGTGGCTATTGGGCCTGCACTGTGCATCTGAGGTAGAAACCATCACAGTGTGTCTGGGCAGTCCCTAAGTAAATAAGTGCCTTTGCCATTGGATTCTCACCAGCCTCCAAGACCATGCTTGTATCAGGTCCCACTGTCAGGGTCCCTGTGTTGACATTTGGGCCTTCTTATACCACCTCAGCCTTGTCCCTCTTGGCATCCTGAAATTACTTTCCCAAACTGCAAACCTTGCTCCCTTCTAGGCACTGCTCTTTGCCTACAGGATAAAATCCAGATCCTGGGGTCTGCAAAGCCTTGCGCCTACTCTATCCTTACCTCTCTCCACCTGTTCTGGGAATCTGGCCAGCTGGGTTCCTGCAGGCCTCTGTGTCTTTCTTGAGCTGCTCCCCTACCCATAGCCCCCTTGCTGCCTCCTTTCCCAGTGATGCCTGGCTTAGGTATCCCTGCCTTAGCCTTTGTTGACATTGCTGCCATAGTTGCTCCCCCAGGGCCCCTGCATATTGCTCAGTTGCATAACTGCCTTGTATTTGCCACCTCTCTTAGCTACAGTCTCACCTCTAATTTACTTTTTTGGTCCTAGCATTTTGCAGACTGCCAGGTAAGGTACACATTAGGTGCATACTTTGTGTTTGAAGAGTAGCTGGACTTGTCTACTCTGGGCAGGGCTACTGGGCATTTGAAGTGGAAGTTGGAGTCAAGCTGGGGCCTTTTGGCTGGCCCAAAGTAGGGCCAAGGCGATAGTTCCCTCCCATTAGCTGCCAGCTATCTGTGGGCACTGGGGAGGCAGTCCTGAAACATTCAGATGTCTTCTCTTTTGGTGGAGGACGCAAAAGGTAGTGTACTTTTGAAGTCTGGGGCACTATGCACACTTTTCTGAGCCCCTGCACTCTTCTTGGAGAGTCCTGGAAGCAAAGGGCCCTCCTACCTAAAGCACTTCGCATTTAACATCTTCAAATTAAGACAAAGTTAGGACAGGAGTGAGAGGTCCCCAAGCCCTGGTGTTCTGCCCCAACCTTCTCCTTGGTTAGCCTTATTTTTGGAGGGTCAGCTCTTGAGCCTCACCTTTGTGTGACTCCATTCTGTGGCTGAGAGCAGGGAAAGGCAGGGCTTCTCTGTCTGTTCTGGCAAAGGTCAGGGTCTGGGATTCTCCTGTACTTGGGCCTTGAAGGCTGACCCTGCGGATCTGTTTTTCAGTGTTTTACCTTGTGCTAGGCATTGTGCTGAGCATGTTGCAAGCTTCATCTCTGCAGTGAGGCTATGAGGGAACCAATGACTATCACACTTCACAGAAACAGAGGCAAAGAGTGGATAAGCCACTTGTCCAGGACATAGGTGGGAAGAAGCTGGGTTGAAATTCCAGCCTAGGACACTTGGCTGCAGAGAAGTCATGCTGTATCTTTGGTCAGAAGTGACCCATAGACCAGCCCATCAATGTGTTTGTTCAGCTTCATGTGGCTTAATTCATTTATTTATTTTTTACTGAGTTAGCTGCTAGCATTAAAGGTCAGCACATGAGAATCTCACTATCAGTCTCTTGTTGAAGTGTGCAGCTCTGAGGGTCTGGCCCAGAGTCCCCATAGGAGCCATCATCTGGAGGTAAAGTACTGTGCTCAGGGCCATTCGGTAGTATAGGAGAGGTTTGTTGCCTGAGCTCAGGCCAGTTGGCCATTTGTCACAGCCCCTGATCCCTGAAGGTTTGCTGTTTCTCCCATTATGTAGGGATCTAGGTGATGTCATTGCATCAAGACACATCCTGCTTTACCATTCTTCCCTTGCCATCTGCCTGATTCCTTCCCTAGGCATCCTGGCCTGACCTTTCCTGATGTTTCAGATCCACTAAGATGGGTCAGCAGGGAGCTGACCTGTTCTTGAATTCCCTGCTCCTTGGTCTTTTTGAAGTCTGGTTTAATAGATTAGATGTGGAGTCTTTGGCAGATTTATTTTAGTGCCTTAAAATTTCACAATACCAAGGATTACGAGAGTCTTCAAGTATTTAATGGAGACATGAGTGAGGTGCTGGGCACGTGTTAGATTCCTGTTGGTACTTTGTCTGAATGTGACTCACCCAGAGGCTCAGAAGTTCTGGCTCCTTCTAAGTGTTTTTTTTTTTTTCTTTCAGTTTTATTGCCCCTGATTTAGGGACAATAGAGATGATGCAGTTCTTACCTAAAAGATTTAATGAAAATATTTTGTAAAGTTAAGGCTTTCTAAAAATAATTTAAAAGAGTGTACGAGCATGGAGAAGGACATGGAACTTTCTGTGGAGGAAGGGGGGGAATGAGCAGAGAAGAATGCTAAATGTTGCTCTATATAGTGGTAGTTGCTTGTTGCAACTGTTTACTTTTTAAATTAAAGTGTTTAACAAATTTTGATATAATTACACTAGAAATCTTTAATACAGATTCAATAAAACTGAGAGTGCTTGGTACCCTTGGGAGCCCTCTGCTTAAGAGATTGGAGGAGTGAGCACACACATTTATCCGGAGCATCCAGCCAGGGGGATGCCTGTGTAGGAGACTGTTCAATAGCAAGGTCTTCTCCAGCAGTGTTAGCCAGATGCTTCCCTCCCAGTGGAGCAGTCAGAGGGGCTATAGTGTTTGGAAGAAAGTCTGCACGTAGAGAGTTCAAAAGAGACGAAAGCCTTTGATCACTTTGAGGCCTCTGCAGGACAGGGGCTGCCAGGACTTTGACAGGGAACTTTTTGGAGGTCCTTAGCTCTGGGAAGGAGTAGACTAGCCAATCCCAGAGAAGTACATTGTGAGCCACATATATAACTTAAATGTTCTTGATTATCCACATTAACTGAGGCCAAGAAGAAATAATCAGAATGAATTTTAATGACATGTTTAACTCAATTATGCAGAATACTATCATTTCAGTACATGCAATCAAATCAGTATGTAAAATTATTAGATATTTTGCATTTTTAATGCCAAGTTTTTGAAATCCCACATACACTTTCAACTTGTAGCACATCTGAAGTCTCACAAGCTGCATTGCAAATGTGCAAGGAAATGTCCCTATAGCCATCAGCTGGACACAGACTTACAAGGCTATCCCGCCTCCTCTGTTAAATGTCTTTGAAACACGTGGTCTCCCTCTCCTGGACAGTGTTGGCAGTGCATGTAGCTCTAAGGCTGGTGTGAAGGAGGAGGGGAAAGGAGGGAACTAGAAGCACAAACCAAAATTGTACCAGTTGGGAGTTTCTCCTGAGGTTGCTCATGAGGACTTTTAAAGTTTTATTTTGGCTTGGAAGTACTCAGAATTTTCTCTAGTATGTATAAGTTTGCCATTAAAAGTACACGCACACACATATTTCAGTGAAACAAAGATGAGTGCATTCTCCCCCACCCCAGAACCCACTTTCATGGCAATCATGAACTCCTAGGCCTGTAATGTTAATGTGGTTATTTTTAATTTCCCAAGCATTACTGAGTAAGAAGTTGCAAAATAAAGGTGCTCATAGCAACCAGTTCTCCCACATCCCATATTCCCCCTTATTAAGGTATCATGCTAAGTGCTTTAACTTGTAATGAAAACATTATGACTGCTAAGTAAAAATATTGTGACAAGTCAGAGAATTCAGGGTTGCTATGGAAGCTTTCTCCACTTGTCCCTGTCCTTGTAAGGTGGGCTTAGTTGAAGGTGTGATCCAGACTGCTTTGTTTTTTTTTTTTTTTTTTGGCAGTACTGGGGTTTGAATTTAGGGCCATGTACTTTTTAGGCAGGTGCTCTACCACTTGAGCCACTCCACCAGCCCTGCTCTGTTCTTGAGCAGCTGGAATTACAGGTGTATACCACCATGCCCAACTTGTTTTCTTTATTTCAGCTCATTTTTGACCTTTTGCTTTAACCATGAGGCAGATTTGGGCTTTGCCAGAAGGAATTGCCTGGGCATTTCAGGCGGGTCATCTCAATTCATCCTTTCTTACCTTCAATGTTGTATGGCAGCCATGATTGTGCAGGAGTGTGTGCATGTGTGAGTGTAATAGATGATGGTCAGGAGTTTTTCAGCAGTGAGGGTTGTTAGCAAATGGCTCTGTGTTCTCCAGGCAGTCATTCATGTACTAGGGGCTGCACAAGCCCATTCTGGAAGAACTCAGCCCAGCTTTTCCTCTCCCCAAACTTGTCACTGTGTAGGCTTCATCCAGGAAAAGTTATAAATACAGTGCTTGATCCTGGATATATGTGAAGCAGACCCCTGTGACCTTCCATCTTTATAGTCTCGGGTGCGTGGTTCTAGGGGTCTGTGTATGGTGAATGATGGAGTGCTCATGGGGACATAGAGCTAAGTCATGGTCAGGTGGGAAAATCTTGCTGAGCCATGTAGAGCAAGAACTGGACCAAAGTGTTTGCTAGGGGGAGAAAAAGGTGAAAAACTATTAGGGATAAATATGCCTTGCTTAACTCTGCTCAGTGTCATTTTAATGATTAAAAAAAAAAGGAGAAACATGGGCCAGTGGTTTTGCCCAGTGGTGTAGTGTTTACCTAGCATATACTAGGTCCTGGGTTTCATTCCCAGTACTTCCAAAAAAGAAAAAAAAGAAGAAAAAAGGAGGGGGTGGATATTGCTCCCAGTTGAGGTTGGGACTTTCTTTGGGCGAGTTAGAAGGATAGTATGGGGGCCCGTCATTTAGACATTCTCAGTATTCTGAAAGAACAGAAGGCACCAAGAGCAGGCCCACTGTGCACCAGCTTGTGACCTCAGGCAGGGGGACATAGTTCTTCTTGGTTCTAATGAGAAACTGCTCCTTCCCACTCCAGGGCCCTTGGATTCTGACAGCCCTGTCTACCTGCCCTACAAGACGCTAGTCTCCACGGTTGGAAGCATGGTGTTCAATGAGGGTGAAGCCCAGAGGCTCATTGAGATCCTGTCTGAGAAGGCTGGTGTCATTCAAGACACATGGCATAAGGTGGGCCCAGAGGCCACTACAGTTGGCAAGAATGGTTTGCCCTTCCCTTGTTTCCTTTTTAGGGACTAGTGAGTTGCAGTAGTTGTCTGGTTCTGGACATCCCCCTTTCCTGCCCCGCAGAGATGCCCATTGAGCCATGCTCAGTTTGCCTAGCTGCAAAGAGAATATTCCTAAATCAGCTTCCATTTGTCCTTCCCAGAAGAATACTGCCACTCCTGCCATACTAGGCTTTATAAATCATCCTGCAGATGCTTTGACTTCTGCCACAGCCTGGACACCAAAACCAGAAGGCTGGTAAGGGCAGGGGTAGACTTCTGGCTCTCCTGGGGGTAAGAACCCAGGAGCTGGGCCCAGCTGGTTTGTAGCCAGAGTTCAGGGTGTGGCATGGAAGGGCATATGAAGGGATGCTATGACAAGCCCTGTAGTGTCTCTGATTGCCCTTGTTCTATCAGAGGCAAGTCAGAGGCTGGCTCCTACCTTTCAGTGCCTCTGGCTACTAAGCCGCCCTGGGAACTGCAGTATGTACCTGTTTGTTCCTTAGCCAGAGTTGGGATTCCAGGTAACTTGGCTGGACAATTTAGTGGCTGAAAGTGTTGGGAGGGTTCTGAGAGCCAGGCTGGGGACTTCTCCCCTAGGGCAGTGGCAGTTACTCCCCTCTTGGCTGTCACTGGGGTTAGGGGCAGTGATATGACTTGTGCATGGTCTCGGTGATATGGGAACTTCAGCCAGTGAGCACTGGGGGGTTTGCTGAGCATGAGTATTGGAGGAGGTCAGTGACATGACTGTGGTCCTAATTCAGCTCAGGCCGTTGTCCCCAGAGTCTGCTTACCTTCTCACCAGCTCCTACACCCCAGTCAGTAGCCTCCAGTCTGCACGCACTGATGCAGGGGCAGGAAACATCCTTGTCCTGAAAATTATCCAAGGGCTCCCTCTGCACACGGCCTGGGCCCCCCAGTGGCAGGGCGGCTAAGCAAGGTTACCTTTTCTCCCTGCAGTGTTTGGTGTCAGGATGGAGATACTCATCTTGAAACCCATGGTCTCCCACTCAGCAGATGCTTGGGCCTCTGCTCTTGTCTCATTGTCTCTGTTAACGTGGCTTTGTGGACATTTCTAGGCCACTCAGAAGGGGGACCCTGTGGCAATTCTGAAACGCCAGCTGGAAGAGAAAGAAAAGCTGCTAGCCACAGAGCAGGAGGATGCAGCTGTTGCCAAGAGCAAATTGAGGGAACTCAACAAGGTACAGCTCAAGCCCGGAAGTGAGCAGTCTCAGGAGGCTGCCCCTCCTCTCCCTGTTCTTTGAGGATCCTCTCATCACTGGGGCCACTGCTGCCTTTGGATTATGATCTCCGGCTCAGGGCTGACTCTGAAATAGTTTTCTCACCAGCTTGCCTGCTAGGCGTGTGGCTGTTATTAAGTCCCAGAGGATGTGACTGGAGATTTATCTCCTGTCTGAAGTGTCCAGGGATAGGGTGGGAGTTGCTCTTCAGATGACGGGGATGGACCAGACGGCTTTCCTTGGCTGGTGCCATGGTGCCTGGCCATCTTTCTGGGGAATACTCCTGGAAAGGTGGATGGGCACAGTTGATCCAGGGTTGTTTTCTTGAGAATTAGGGGAAGGGACAGGAAGGACAGCTTTTCTCCCTTTTTCTGATGTTGTGGAGTAATGTGGAAGGACATGCCTAGCTTCTCAGTATCAACCTGTGGCTGGGCAGTAGAGCTTGTACTGAGTGTACGAAGTGGCAGTCAGTGATGGGTCAGTACCGCTGTGGGACTGGCTGGGGACATGGTTCAGGATGTATCAGTACCCCAGGCATAGGGGGCCACTCTTTTTCCTGCCAAACTCACTGGGATCTCTCCCTTTCACTCTGCTTCTGAGGGATGAGTCCTGGTGCCCTAGCCTCCCAAGAGGACTTGTGGGCAGGGCAAGGGGAGCCCCCACAGAGCTGGTCTTGCCTAGTTGTAAAGCTGTCTTTTCCCTGCATAGTGTGCAGTCTCACTCTTGCCCCTCCCTGCCTACCTGCCTTTTCTCTCCTAGGCAACAGTCACAGGGAGGTGGTCTGGGCTGAGAGATGTTGGATGCTATTAGCCCTTCTAGCACCTCCATCTGCTCATTTGAGAAGAATTGGAAATGAGACAAATTGACTTTCTGTCCTAAATTCAGGGGACATACCTCTTGAGCTAGACAGGAAAGTTTGACAGGCAGGAGATGATTACAGAGATTATTACTCTCTGTGAATATTATATCCAGGAGCAGAAAAAAATAAGATAAGCCTCCGTTGGCCTTCCCTAGCACTCAGTGGCCATGTGGGCCATCTATTCATGTGGGCTTTGTCATAACTCCCAAGATGTGCCCATGCTGGGTCTTTACTTGACTGTCCTGAGCTATTGGTGAAACGTAGGGCTCAAACTGCTTGCTTTGGCCAATTGTGCATGTCTCCTCTTAACTCCATATACACCTCATGTTGAGGGTTATGCCTAGGACATGGGAAGAGTATTCATACCACAGAATTTGGCTAATATAAACCAAAACCCCCTGACCCCTCCACATGCACTGTCTTAAGAGCCAGCCGACCAGAACCCCACTGGTTAAGAGTCTGTTCTTTTAGGGAGCCAGTCTTCCCTGCTTTCTTTCTAAATAAACTAAGTCCCTGTAAAAACTTGTTGATCCCCAAAAGCAAGTTCAAGTGAGAGGAAATGGAGTATTTATATGGCTAGCTGACCAGCTGTTGCTTGGCTAGTTGCCTGGGCCTACCTGTTTAATTTATAGTGGGCTTGAGATACGACAGTGAGTAGGTTGCAACCTCTGAGGGTGACTTATAGCCTGGGATACTTCCCATTGCTGAGGTCTCTGTCCACCTGCAAGGCAGCATGTGAGCAGGGAGTACCCTTTATAGTACAAAGCCTCTTAGATGTGGCCCTGTGCTGATCACTCAGTGCCTAAGCTCTTCCTCAGAGGTGTGAGTGTGGGACATGATTTCCAAAACCACAATGTCAACTAACTCCCAGACACCCTCACCAGGTCCAGATACATTTCCCCCCATTATGAGCTGCAAGGCCAGTCCTTGATTTTCACTACACATCTCATCTTCCAGAGTGTGGGCCTTGGCTCTTAAGCAAGGAGTTTAGCTCACATCCAGCCATGGTCCTCCATCCTCTAATCACATCCTGATTCTAGTAGCCTGAGGAGTTCCTCTTGGGTTCTCAAATGCTGATCTGATCTCAGAGGACCCCCTTCAAACTTCAGCCCCAATTCTGCACTCTAAGTACTGTCTCCCTACCTGCCCTGCCTCTGGTCTCTCCCCACTGCTTTGCATTACTACCTTCTCCCAGATGTGCCCTACCCTTCGTTGCCTCCTCTGGGCCTCTCCTGCCCTTCCCTGCCTGGCTGTCTGGATGTTGTATCCTATAAGACTCAGTTTGGTCCCTATCCTTAAGGAGCGCCCCCTCACCCCAAGTTCGTGTCCCAAGTGGAGGTCATTGTTATGATTAGGTGTTCCAGACCTATATCTGATTCCTGGTAGGCTATGAGTCTTGTATAGAGAAAAGTTTCTGGCCACCTTGCCTGGCAAGCTGCCTATGTGCAAGTAGACACCACGGCCTGAGGCAGGCTTCCTGCTAGGGAGAGGCCTTTGTTGGCATTTTACATCTTCTTATAAATATTAAATGTTTGTAGTTTATGCATTTGGCCATTTTTCTTCCCTGTGCCCCTAAAATTGTGACTATTGGGTCCCAGAAGCACTGTTGAGAGTCTGTGGCAGAGCTGATGTGTTTGTCTCATTCTGGTATCATGTCTCCTAGCCCAGCACTATTGAGGGATGTTCTATAAGAAAATGTTGGGCTGAGACTGTGACTCAAGTGGTAAAGCACCTGCCTAGCATGTTTGAAGCCCTGAGTTCAAACCCCAATACCACCAAAGAAAAGAAGAAACTAGGGAGGAAAGAAAGAAAGGAAGTGGGGGTGGGAGAGGAAAGGAGGAGGAAGGAAAATGTTACTGAGCATATGGAAGTTCCCGTATCTTAACTCCCACAGGAGATAGTGATATTGATAGGCCCTGTGTTCTGTGCCCTAGTCCCTTCCATATGTTTTGTTGTTCTTAGAGAAACTTTTATAGCTGAAAACAGGGTTTTGCTTAATTTTCTTTCTTGGGGTAATACCACAGACATGGATGCACTGAGAATGTTCAATCATCTGCCAGAGATTTGTACCTCCCATATGTGGGAAGTCCCAACAGAGTTGAGCATATAGGCTAGTTCAGGCACCATTTGCAGGAACTAATGGACTTGGGTACCCCTGAGAGCTCCCTTTTGAACCTCTGAGTGTTCAGAGTCCCTGTGTGGGTTTGAGGAATCCAGGCCAGGGTTCCAGTTATGTATCCAAGAAATCACAACTTTCCAGAAAACCTTTCTAGCTGTTGTCTTCCTTGGCATCATAGGCCTTGTCATCAGGACTTCTGTCCTGAAGCAGCACTGTGGACTAGACCAGTCTTGTACTCACTCTGATGTCTAAGCTTGAGGGCCTGGGAGGCAATCGGGCTCTGACTCAAAAGAAGGTAGCAGCAGTCATTTCTGTACCAGGTACTGGTGTTGGTGCCATGTTCCATCTCCCAGCTAGAGAAAGAACAGTACTCCTCCCACCACCCCTGGAAATGCTTTTCAAAAAATAAATCTGACCTTGCCCCCAATCTATCTGACCAGACCCCTGTGTCTGCTATTTACTCCCAGGAGATGGCCTCAGAAAAGGCCAAGGCTGCAGCTGGGGAAGCCAAAGTGAAGAAGCAACTGGTAGCCCGGGAGCAGGAGATCGCGGCTGTGCAGGCACGCATGCAGGCCAGTTACCGGGAGCATGTGAAGGAGGTGCAGCAACTGCAGGGCAAGGTAGGCAGTGTCCTGGGGGTACAAGAGATGGGACAGTCTGGGGTAAGTTCTGGGGACCCAGTGGGCAAGGCCTGAGCAGGGGGCAGATGAATGCCTACAGGAGAGCTAGAAGAGCCAGTAGTGTTACATTTGGCTGGATAGTGCCAGGCATTTCACTGTGTATGTGTTTAATGTTAATAACCCAAAAAGTGTAAAATACACTTGAAAGAGCACTTTTTAAATGACACTACCCTTAGGTGGCCATCAGTAGTTGCTGCCTCCTAGGTGCCTGAGGGTCAGGTTCTCAGCCTCCACATGAACCTGGAGTAATGCTGGGCCTACCTTCTCTACAGGTATTTGGGAGGATTCCATAAAACAAGAGATTTCAGTATCACATAGCCTCAGCATGGGGCTCAGGCAATTGTCTGTCTAGACTGGCCCTCATTGTCAGAGCTTGATGCTTATCTTCTGACACCTGTGCTCTGCTTATTGTGGGCCATGGCTGCCTACCCGCTGCTCATCTTAGAAGGTGCCACACGAGGTCAGAAGGCAGGAAACGAGTCTTCTTCAAGGTAGTTTGTAGGCTGTGGCTTGTGGCCATGTGCTTTATCTCAGTAAACCCTGGTAACCCCCTTAGACAGACTTGCATGAGCATGTCTCAGGTTCTGGACTGAGTGCTGGGCCAGGGGCAGGCTGATAGCAGTGAGAAGGAAGAGGGTTGGTATTCTGGCCCACATTTGGCCTTGAGCTCCTGATACTGGAGCTGTGCAGTATTCAGGCCCCTTGTTTAGCAGCATTCTCCTAGTCTCCAGGCAGAACAGGTGGAGTCTCCTGGAAATTTTCTGTAACCTTGCTAACCTGGTCCCGAAATCAGTGCTCTGTATATGGCTGAGCCACACTGTGATGCCCTCAACAATGACTTTTCAGATCCGGACTCTTCAGGAGCAGCTGGAGAACGGCCCCAACACCCAGCTGGCCCGCTTGCAGCAAGAGAACTCCATCCTAAGGGATGCCTTGAACCAGGCCACAAGCCAGGTGGAGAGCAAGTAAGCTGAGCATCCTGCAGACACTGGTGTCATATACCCTAGGGACTTTGGAGTCTGTGTTACTCCACAGACTCCCATGGGGCTACAGCAGATGCACTCCAGTTTCTTGCTGGATGTGCAACTGGAATGGCAGCCAAGCACAGGCCCCACATGTGTGAATGGGCCATCTGGGTGTTTCTGCTCCCTCTCCGGGCGGGAACCATTTCCTATGTGGGTTCTGAACAGCTGAATCTTCTGATGAAGCCCTTAGGGAGGGTGGTGTGCTCCAGCCTATAGTTTGCCCTTATACAATGTCCATGGTCAAGCACCCATCCTCACAACAACTTCCACAGGGGGCTTTTAAAAACTCCTGGTTGTGGCCTAAAGTAGCAAGGCCAAGCAGTTTGTCCATAGTGTGTTGGTGTGGCCTCCATTCTCTGGGAACACAGCCTCCCATTCTCATGTTTCCTAGCACACTAGCCACTTGCTTAGCAGAGCTTCCACTCTCCCTGTTTCCTTTAAACAGCTGAAATGCTACAGAGTCTACAGCCAGTGGCCAGTTCTGGAAGCCCCTCTTTGCCTCTGATATTCACACTACCCTGTTGGCCTCTGCATCCCTAATTCTAGTGCTGCAGTCACAGCAGGCTGGCCCTCAAGAAGCCCACTGCACTGGCTGCCAAAGCCCGTATCTTTGCCGTCTCTTGTCCTGAAGTACCTGACAGGGACTTGCTGAGCTACTCTTATCACCAGAGTGCTGGCAAATGATTCTTTGTCTAGGTATCACCTGGGAGAAGCTAAGCACTGGAGCTAGGCTGGGAGGAAAAGCTGGACTCAGTGTCTTTTTAGTGGCTTCTCTGGTGTGATGTAAGCCCTAATGGCCACATTCCTCCAGGCTGTCCTTTCTGTAAAGGTCCCTTCTGGGTGTGTATACACATGTCTTTATTTCTTTCTTGACACATCAGTGCTCTAGGTTTGTTGCTGCCATTTCCTCAGAAGCCACAGCAGAAGGTGAATGCGGGGACTGGGGAATACTCTGAACTCCTTTGTCACATAGAATCTGCTATGGCCTCCTTACTGAGGAAAGCTCTAAAGCCTGGGACTTTTCACTTCAAGGTGATGACTGCTGCCTCCCATCAGTCTGGAAGCCCTTCCTGGTGGGGAGTGCACAGCAGTGGGATTGGTTTTCCCAGGCCCCAAGGCAGTCCCAAGAAGCTGTCACCAGGTCATGGGCCATTAGCACCACCAAGGGTTGTGGTGCAGATGAGGAAACTCGGGTCAAAGAGGTGGAACCTTACCCATCACAGAGCAGGACTTCTCTCTACTGGGCTTTGTACCTGTGCCTGTTCCCTTGTTTTTCTGATATTCTTGTCCCTTGGCTCTATCTGAAGAGGTAGCATCCATGCTGGCAGAGGAACTGGACTTCCGATTATAATGACACTGGGAAGGGTGGGTCTCTAGCTTCCATCCTTTTCTTTCAGTCAAGTCTCCTTCTATAATTCCAGTATGTTCCTGAGAAGCTCCACTTTGAAGTGCAGTATTGAAGGGTCTGTTTTGTAAGTGCCTCATGCTCCAGCTACAGTGACCTCTCTAGTCTGCCATGGTCCTGTCTGCCAGTGAAGTGGGGCACGTGGGCTTTGGGCTGCTACCATTGCCCTGTAGGAGGTACAAAGAGTCCACCTGCATCTGCTGTGTGAGAAGAGCATCTTGCCTTTTGCTGTGTAAATTTTCAGTGTTTTCTTGCAGGGGTTCCATGGGATGCTTCAGTACATTTTGCCTCTTTGCTCTCTCTGGTCCACATACTGTAGTGGCAAAACATTTTTGACAACACAGCCCCTGGTGCTCACCTGGCTGGTAGTGAAAAAGAGTCTTTGGTAATGGCTCCAAGACTTGAGTATCTACTTATAGAAGAGGAGCTGTCTCAGAGGGAGACACAGGATTTGGCTTCTGTCATACTTTTCTGGCCATCAGTTGGAGCTGGTGACTTTCTTACAGGCAGAATGCAGAGTTGGCAAAGCTCCGGCAGGAGCTCAGCAAGGTCAGCAAGGAGCTGGTAGAGAAGTCAGAGGCCTCACGGCAAGAGGAGCAACAGCGGAAGGCCCTTGAAGCCAAGGCAACTGCCTTTGAGAAGCAAGTCCTTCAACTACAGGTGAGTTGGGATGGCAGCTGTTTTAGTGCCTCTTTTCACTGCCCACTAAGCCTGTTTGCCTAGTGAGAATGGGCTAGAGCTCGTTCAGCCACACTGAGTCATCCCTTTAGCCATGACTTTGATGACTAGAAATGTAGGCAGTGTTGTGGCTTGAACTCTTGACCTTAGCCTTGTTAATAGTAGTGATAGTTAGCATCATCCAGTGGGTGCATTTTTTATGTGTATGAGCACTTTATAGCATTAATTCAGGCAATTGTCATTGTAACCCAAGAGGAGGTACTGTTATGTCTACAATTTACCCATAAGGAAGTTTAAAGCACAGAGAAGTTAAGCAACTACCCCAAGTTTACATGGCCAGGACATGGCAGAGGCATGCTCTCTGAGTCTAGCTCCTGAGCTGTGTTTGTCCTCCCATTCATGCCACCACTGTGGTACTGCAACTTTCTGGTGGCCAGCAAGCACTTGCACAGATTCTGTGGTCTGGAAGTTGTTTCCCTAGGAGGATGCTTGTCCTTCAGAGAGGGAGATTGTCACCAGAATGCACTGTGCAACATCTATCATGTTTTCCTCAGCCCAGGGGCTTGCTGCCCATCAGCCCAATGACTTCCAATTCCCCTGCTGGCCTGTGTCAGAGCAGTCTGACCTGGCCTGGGGCAGCTACCTGGATGCCTAGCTTCCCCTCTGTACTTGGGCACAATGGTTGTACATGTCCCATATATGGCTCTGGGGATGAGCTGGGCTGGTATACACAGAACACCTAGGACTAGATGGAGGCCTTGCACAGAAAACGAGTTCAGTAAATATGGATTTTACAAAGCCCCATTCAGGAAATCTCCCAAGTCAGAATGCAGTTTAGGTTGTAGAAAGGGCTGTCCCTGTCAGGCTGATAAGAAAATGGGACTTTTTCCATTGTGTTCTTCCTTCATCTGCAGCCCTTCACTGCAAGCCAGGTCTTTAGGGACCAGGGCAGACGAGGCCCCATGTGCTGACCTTGGGTGTCAGAGCGCTGGCATCAGGGAGTGTCTGCCCCAACCCCAAAGCCTTCCCCAGCACCTGTCTCTGCTTGGGTGGCTAATAGCATGGCCTGCTTGGAGGAAAATGCAAAGTGCCCTTTGAGGTCACTGTTGGCACTTGTCTTGACTTCTTGTTTAGTGGATGAACTGAGTTTTAGAAACCAAGTAGCATTTCATAGAAGTCCCCAGCTGCCTGCCCAGCATGGGACCAGCTTTTGAAATTGTTTGATGGGATTAGTGTGCTGATTACCTTCTTTCAAGCAAAGAGAGTTGTCATCTAAGGTCCTAAGATATGTAAGTATATAGGTATTTTCCATTTAAAATTCTAAGATTTTAGTTCCTCAAGGTGGATAGGCTTCTGTCTGTTAGACCAGTGTTCTAATTAATGATGGTCATGAGTGGAAAAATATATGTAGGCTCTGTGCAGTCTGAGCTGAATCCCCTTTTCTTAACAGAGAGTGAGGGAAGCTGCTGATGCCTTTTCTAGTTGCATAGTGTCTGCCCTATTCCTCTTGGTGGCAGAGCTGTGAAGTGTGGAAGCTGAGAGAGGAAGGCAGGCTCCTGCCATGATGCTTGTGCAGAGGAGAAGCAGGTCTGCCTACTGGGGAGCAACTGGCAGTTATTTCTTCCTTTCCTCCCTCAGACTTGGAACTGAATGCAGTTCAGTTCTCTGCCACAGTCTAATGCAGAGACAACATTGCCCACCTTAAAGCCACCTCCAGTTTTCCCTGCACAGAACACATTTATCCATAGTCGGGTGGGCACACCCTTACAATGACTTTGAGAATGAAACCTGAAGTGTGGATCATGTTAGGTCCTTATAGGGGTGACATGAATTGGAGCCTCACTTTAATCAGCCAGAATCTTTGTTGACTGCCCCCCTATACATCCCTGCCCCAGACAAGCTTGTGAAGTCTGCAGTCCTTTGAGGAATTAGGTTCTTCAAACATGTGTGACAAGCACTTCCACCACAGGAGCCCTGTGTTTGGGAATCTTTGACACATGAACTAAAAATGTCTGTTGGAAAATTAATTAGGATCACCAGAAATTGAGAGTAACCTGTCTTTTGTTGAGCAGTAGGAAACTGGGCTGATACCAGCATATCAAAGCTTTGTGTGGCTCTAAACGAGGATGAGGTGGACCTATTTATTTTGATGTGAAGTCGCCAAGATTCATGAAATTGCCATTGCCATTTTTATGGATCAAACATTATTGAACACTGACCTTTAAGTGAAAGATGTGGTCGAACCTTTAAGTGAAAGATCTAGGAAAACTGCCATATGAATGATCTCAACTACGTGCTTCCTCCTTATTTGTGTGTAGACATATGTTATTATAGGCAGGAGGCCTACCAAACTGTCTCTGGGGAAAAAGTCAAGGGACTCCTTTGGAGAAACTGCTAGTTTACTTTTAATCATTATCTTTGGACTTTTAAAGCATGCACATACTCACAACTCAACTGAGAATGTAAAAATATTGAAACCCTCCCAAAGTGGGAAATAAGTGTAGATCCCTGGCAGCTACTTCTCTCATTGAAACTGCACTGACTGGGGTCAAATTGTTCAGATTCTAGAGCATTCAGGAATACAGGTCTTGAAAGACAAGCCAAAGACCAACCATACAGGGGATACTTCGGTCATGTTAAAAACTTTGTCCTCTTCGACCTCTTTGCTTATGAGGGCCCAGTTTCTCTTTCTCCTCACAGCTCTCCTCCTTCTGCCCCATTCTAGGCATCTCACAAGGAGAGTGAGGAGGCTCTGCAGAAGCGCCTGGACGAGGTCAGCCGAGAGCTGTGTCGTGCACAGACCAGCCATGCCAGCCTCCGGGCAGATGCAGAGAAGGTCCAGGAGCAGCAGCAGCAGATGGCAGGTGAAGGCAATGTTCATATGCCCTGTTCCTGGAGGGATCCAGGGAAGTCTACCCACTGTCTTCATCCTATAGCGAGGACCACAACAAAGTGGGCCAACCCTGCCCCTCAGATGGTTGAAGAGGCTGAGATTGTGCCCTGTCTGGGACTGGCTGGATGCATGGAGCTGGGCCAATAGCAGACTGTCCACTGGGTGTCGAGGGTAGATGTAGAGTGGGGCTGTGGGGTGGAGGCATTTCCTGCAAGGGCTGGGCATGAAGCAAACAGTGCTGGTGAGAGCCTTATGGCCATTCACCCACTGTACTTCCTGAGGCCATGCTGTGGGCACTGGGGTAGCAGCAGCAGTGCCCCCCACAAGGTCAGCAGTGCCTTCTACCCAAAGAAATCTGAAAAAGTAATAGGTGAAAATATAGCTTCCTGAGCCAGATGTCTCTTAGAGCACCTCAGCTCTGCTGCTGTGGGCAAAGTGGCTATAGACAATGTCAAAACAAATGGGCTTAGCTATTTGAATGAAGCTTCATTTACAAAAACAGACAAGGAGCTGGGGAGTCTGTGGCATGGCTTTAGTCATAGGAGGCCTCTCTGAGATAGGAGAGGGATGTTTCAACCTAGATCAGAATGATGGAAGGAGCCAGTCCTAAGAGGCAGCCAGCTAGCACAGGGCTCCTGAGAGAGAAATGAACTTGAACATGGTCTAAACAAGTGACAAGGTCCTAGAAGGAGAAGGCTGGTGAATAGTGTGGGACCAGATGGACAGAGCTCCAGTTACCCACCTGTGAGGAGTAAAGTGTGATGAGAAGGTTTGGAACTGGGGAGGGCACAGTCTCATTTGCACTTCTGGATACCGTGTTGTTGGGTGAAGAGTAGACCAAGGATAAGGGTCCTACAGTTGTCCATGCTCAGGCAATAGGGCTTGGCCCAGGCAGCCAGGGGTGCTGATGAGATAGACAAGATTTGGCAGATTGTGAATGTGCCTTGGCAGCAGGTGAGAGGGTAGGCAGGATAAAAGAATAGCCAGAATGAGACCTAGAGGTCAGAATGCTTACCTAGTTAGATCTCCATTTGGAGGTGGCAAGTCTGGGGTCAGGGATGAGATCAGGCCTGGGGACAGTGTGGTGTCACAGGTACCTAGACCACAGTCAGAGTGGTGGTACTCATAATCACCTGAGAAGGAAGACACCTGGTGAGAAGAAGAGGGCCAGGGCAGACTCTGGGGAGGTATGACCAGTGGAGTCCATATAGTCACTTTTTTAAAAAAAGAGTCTCTGGCCACCTTACACCTGCCTTTGGTCTCAGCTGATATGAACCAGAGTGAGTGAGCCAAAGAGTGAATCTTTAGAACCTTCAACTATAGCCCACTTTAGAACTCCATCATTTTCTCATCAATGGCCATTTCATTTTACCCTGATGGTCCTCAAAACCACTACTGACAGGCTGTGACTTTGTTCAGCAGCTAATGAGAAGCCCTACTGATGAGAAGTAGTCATAGTAGTCACACAGAGGAGGCTGAGGAAGGACCTTTTAGGTGCCCTGCTTATACCAGAGAAGGAGGCAGCAGTTGGGGTGTCCAGACATTTCTAGCTCCTGACTCTCTCTTGCTTGCCTTTTCCTGCAACAGAGCTACACAGCAAATTACAGTCCTCTGAAGTGGAGGTGAAGAGCAAGTGTGAGGAACTGAGTGATCTCCATGGGCAACTCAAGGAGGCCAAGGCAGAGAACTCGCAGCTCACAGAGAGGATCCGTTCCATTGAGGCCCTGCTAGAGGCAGGCCAGGCCCGGGACACCCAGGTCAGCCCCTTTCTGGGCTGACAGGAGGGAGAAAGGACTCCATTGAGCAAAGGGCCTTCCACCCAGATTAGTTGCTGCACAAGTGAGCCTTGTGGAGACTAAGGAGCTTTCTGTCTCTTGTTCTAGGCCATCCGTACTGAGGCTGACCAGCAGCAGACCCGGTAAGCTGCAGGATGGAGGGTCACAGGGGGATTCAGGGCTTCTGCCCCTTGCTTCAGCCTCATCACAGAATGGCCATGGGCCCTGGGGCTTTCATTGGACTGCTCAGATTCCTTGGGGAAGAGCCCCTTTCAGAGGCCCCTCTCATTGCTAACCTTCCAGTGATTTAGAGAACAAGGCAGGAATTCCTTAACCTGTTTTCTATTGCTGTAACAAAATAGCTGAGGTTGGGTACCCTATAAAGAAAAGAGGCTTATTTAGCTTTTAACAACTCACTCCAAGAAACCAGCATCAGTTCCTCCTTAGGGCAGTACCCCCAGTGACCTAACCACCTCCCACAATGGTGGGAGGCTCCACTCTTAAAGATCCCACCACTTCTTAGTATTACCACACTGGGGACTAAGCTTCTAAAACGTGACCCCTTGGGAGACAAACCATAGCAAGTTCTGCGCTTAGTCTCAATGAGTTAAAACTCACCTGTGTAGAGGATAGCAAGTGCCTCAGTAAGGGGCAAACCTCCTATCGCTGCTATCTATCCATCCAACCATCTCTTTTCCAGTGGAGAAGGACTATCTGATTTGACGGTTCTCTCTGTGTCTCCAAGGGGAGTGATTTTAGGGATTGAGGTCAGTAAATCAAATGGGACATGGACATGGTTCATGGTTTCTGCTAGACCCGAGGTTTGGAGTGTCGGAGAAGTTCAGAGCTGATCATGCTGCAGGGCTGTTTTTCTTTGTGAGGTGACTTCACTGCTAGCCAGTCCTGATTTCCCTCAGTGTCAGCAGCTCTAGTACTAGGCTGTGCTTGGGGACTGTTTGCTATTGCTAAGGCCAGAGTTGACACCTGGGTGAGGCAGTTAGTTCCAGAGTCCTTGTTTCTGTCACTTTGGGCAGATGCCCACAGGCTTGGGTTGGGGGTCCCCAGAGCAGGCATGTAGAGAGGTGTGGAGGATGTTCTCCATCCCCTCGCATGTGGTTGGATGTGTCCTAGGCTGTCAACTAGTAGGATTCCTTATTCTGATTGTCATTGCCAAAGAGTTGGCTCACTTTGTGCTTCTCAGCAGACATAGCTCTCTAGACCACAGCTCGTGTTCCCTGGCATTCAGCAGGCTCTATGGTTTGGGATCTGGGAAAGGAAATCAGCCACCTGCTTAAGGAAGACCTCTCAAACCCAGTCCTTTCCACCTTCCTTTTCCAGAAAGTATAGGTGAACATTGTTTCTCCTGATGCTATTTATCAGGGTAGAGAAGTTGTAATTTTGTTAAGCTTTCCTCCTGAATTTGAAGATCAGATTTTTGAAGCTGAGTTTGATGGTTCAACTCATAATCCCAGTACTTGGAAGGCTGAGGCAGGAGGATTACAAATTCAAGGCCACCCTGAGCTACATTTTGAAATCTTTTCTCAAAAAACAAATCAGATTCTTGTACCACACAGTGAATTATTGGGATAGTTAAGTAATATTATAAATAGGATCAGTTTTAATTTTTTGCATCATGCAGATGTGTCTGGCAGAAACTGGTTTATTTCCTTCACAGTTTATCTGCAAGTTACGCAGGATGTCTGGGCCATCCTGTTCTGGGAAGAGAGGAGTGAGTGATTCAGCCCCAAATGTTCTGGAACTTGGCGGTGATCACCAAGGGTGGGGAGATTTTACTCTCAGTATGTCCTTGTCACTGGTACACAGACTCTTCTTCTTCAGGGTCTTGTTCTTCTAGGAATGTTCTGGAGGAGACTCTTAATGCAGTGTGGTGGTTTGAGGGACAGTTTGAGGGGCCCCAGTGGAGCTTTGAGGGTGGGATCAAAGTTCTGTGGGCCTAAAACCAATGTCCAAGAGTCAATGAGGGTCTTCAAGGCTGAGTGCACTGTAATTAGAATAAAAGTATGAAGCTGTGCCAGGCTGGAGTCTATTGTCAGTCACGGTGGTAAGCTTAGCATGCTTGGCCCACACTGACATTGTGGTCATTATTAGTGTGCATTAGAAAGGTGGTTTTCAAAAACCCTTTGACCCTAACCTCCAGAAGGAACAAATATATATGTCCCCATCTGGTAGGTAGTGGTACCAGAGCCTTCTTTCCCCATACTGGCAGCATCTCCCTTTTGTGGGGCTTCCCTTTGCTTCTCAGAGTGACTCAGGTTGCTGATTTCAGGCTACCATTGACCATCTCCATATTTTAGGTTTCACATGTCACTGAGCCTCCCTCCCTCCCTCCCTATCTTTATCTTTTTATCTATCTAATGCAGAGGGAAGCAAGTTAAAGTGTCTGTTTGAAGCTTGTCTCTGAGAGCCTTGAGTATACTTCCATAGCAAAATCAGCCCCCTCATATCTGGATGGTGAGGGTGGGTCCTTTGCATCTACAAAGAAGCTCAGGAAAGATGGGGACCAACACTTCACCAATTCCACAATGTCAGAGAGTTGTCTTGGCTGAGTCCTCAAATCCCAGGGCATAGTCTGAGGAGAGGAGACCTTGGGTCTCAGAAGAGTTAGAAGTTGGTGACCTATTGGGAGCTGTTGAGAACATTGGTGCCCAGGGTCCCAGTGGGTGAGATGTCAGGATTGCCATTGTCTTCAGCTCAGGTGTCTACCTATGAGGCCTAGTCTGGGACTTTTGAGGGTAAAGTGTGGCTGTGGGAAAGGACCAGTCACATGTTCTATGGTGTTAGGGCAGGACCTAGGCTAATAGGAGCCATGTACCAGGCAACAGGTCCCATTCACTAGAAGAAAGAATGTCTTGAAAACCCACCTGCTGGGGCTTCTCCTTCACTGGCTTCTATAGCTGCCTGGGGTCTGTGTCCTGGGCACTCTGAATGAGCAGGACACTGGGCTGGGCAGCAGGGCAAACTTCCTGACAGCCTGTGCCCTGACAGCTGGGAGGATGCCCCTTGCAGGAGCTCCTCACCAGGACAGGGACTCAGGCTGAGCCGGACATCCTGGGCAATGTGTCCCCCAGTGTCCAGGAACTAGAGTCCCAGATATCGCATCTGGAGAAGGAGGCCACTGAGCTGAAGGAGGCTGTGGAGCAGCAGAAAGGAAAGAACAATGTGAGTAGAGTGGCAAGCTGGGTTAGAAGAGTGGGGCAGGGTAGCATGAGGCTGGGAAAAGTCCTGATGAAACCACCTGAGGACCCTGCTGTAAAGCCCTCTCCATACTATCAGGGGAGGGGACAGCTTGGCTGACATCCCTTTCTCTTCCCTTCCTCCTCAACCCTCTATTTTCCTCCCCTGGGTAGGGGAAGCTGGTGCCAGGAGAATGCCATGAAAAAGCTTTGTGGGTAACATATGTTCTGTCCCTATCTGTGGAGACTGGAGTCTTGCCCTTGCTGTCCCTCCCAAACCCCTGCAAAGCAGCAGCTTCCCAAGGGAGGTCTGGGGTCAGAGCTAGTCGGAGGTCAGTGCTTGCTGCTTGATGGCAGGAATGACTTGTCTGAAGAGATAGCCTGACCCTCTATCCTCCCTCAGACTAGTTTTCCCTGAAAGGGTGTCTGCTTGCTGTGCTTGTGCCCCTGCCACTTTCACATTGGGCTATGGCACCTTGACCTTGTGCTGAGTGCTGTCCAGGAGAGGCTATGTGTACATAGGCCAAAGAAAGGACATTTTGTCCCTTTGCAGGTTCTTTGTAGAACCCCACGTAGGGTCATGGTGGTTCTCTGGGCCCTGTCCTTACTGAGACCAGCTGAGGCAGTCTACAGGGGTCGTGTCTGCAGTTGACCCATTGTGGGCTTCTGATCTTTCCTTTGTCTCCCCTCCCAGGACCTCCGAGAGAAGAACTGGAAGGCAATGGAGGCACTGGCCTCTGCTGAGAGGGCCTGTGAGGAGAAGCTATGCTCCCTGACTCAGGCAAAGGTTAGAGCCCCAGCCATCTTCACACTTGCCTGCTGGTCAGGCCAGGACTTAATCAGCAGCACTTTTACCTGGCTTAGCAAATCCTGCAAAACACACAAACTGCAAACAGCACAGCCTTGCCCTCAGGAAACCTCATAAATCCACATCAGGCTCAGGGCTCAGCTCAGAGTTCCCCCAATTGCTATATTTTCCTCCTTTCCCTTCTCTCTCTTCTTTCCCTCCTTTTAATTTTTCCCTAAGATGAAGGAAAAAAGTGTGCACCCTTGATTGATTTTTCTCAGCTGGGCCCTGTGTCAAAATAGTGCAGAGCAAGTGTAGCTACAGGTGTGGAGGCTGGACTTCTGGGGAGTATGGTGGACTGGGCCCACTCTGAGCAAGGCCGGGGTTAGTCACATTTTTTTTTTATCAATGGATACTTCAAATAAACCTACTTCTTTCTCAGGCCCTCTGAAATAATGGCCCAGTAGATTTCATGAGTGATATTTACAGTATGTATGACATTTTTAGCAGTGAGCACTTGGGGCATAAAGTCTCTGAGTATCTGGGGCTCCCATGTAGCCTCTGTGGCCCTGGACTGGCCAGGAGCCACCACGAAGGATCTTGACAGGAACAGCCAGCAGCAGCAGCAACTGAAACCCTCACGCACCCCTTCTCCTTATGCATTTCTGCCCCTTGTGAAAGGTCACCCCTCCCATCCTCACTCACATAAAAGGAATGTCTGTCAAGGTATCTTGAGCTTTGCAGTGACCCCATGATTCTCAGGAAGCCTGAGATGAGGATCTGGAGGCAGAGAAGGAGGGAAAGGCTGGCCTTGTATTAGAGCTGTAGTTAAATTCCTGGGATTTTGGACTTTTAGACCCAGAACTAACTAGAGACCATATGGTTATAATGTGGCACATGCAGAAACTTACACAGAGATGTCATCTGACTTGCTTGTGGCTGTGAAGGCAGATAAAGATAGAAAGTGGCCTCTAAGTCTTGTTTGTCTTGCCTTTGATTCTCACGACTAGAGGACTAGAGTCCTCTGCAGAAAGGGTCTGCTTCTCGGGTATACATCTATACTGCAGTCAGGCTAGGCGTCCATTGTTAGCTGTGCTTCACATGTATGTTCCAGACATCACTCATGGAGCCATACTCAGTTGGCTCTAATCCATTTGGAGTTCCTGATGCCAGCCCCAGGTCTGACAGTGCCCAAGGGGTGGTGGGACTGGCAGTGGTTCTGTCTGCTGGTGAGAAGCTATTAGATGAAACTTTCTTTTAGGCAGAAGTCCTCTACAGCTACCCCAGGCCCCATTCTGCCCTCAGGGGACATTGTGGTCCTAAGCTTTCCCTTACAGCTCCTTCAGCCCTTCTCTGGCTTCTTTTCCTTTTTCATGCTTTGGGTGAGTGCTCCTCTTCCTCAAGGAGAACAACATGGGGTGTGGAGTCAAGCAGTGGCTGTAACCAGAGTGGCTTTTGAGGGACATTCTGTTTCTCTGCCTTCACTCCCCTGCCCTGTCATAGTGCCTGCTTGCACAACCATCCTCCTCCTGTCTTCCTATCTTAGCTTGGCCCCTACATGTTTGCACACACATGAAAAGCTGGGAAAATAAGAGCTGACAGAACCTGAGCATTTGCTGAGATGTGCAGGGCCACCAGCACCTGTCACTGGGGCTAGTCATAGCCCTCTGTGAGTTAAGTCTGTTCAAGACTGACCCTGCATGAGCTGGGGTGAACAGCCCTATCTCCACGCAGCCCACCTTCTGCTTCAATCCTGTCCCTCCCCTGAAGTGCTGAGGACATGCCTTTCATGCTGGGGATGAATGCCTCCCTCTCCCTTGCCCTTCCAGGAGGAATCAGAGAAGCAGCTCCACCTGACTGAGGCCCAGACCAAGGAGGCTCTGCTGGCTCTGCTCCCAGAACTCTCGGTTTTGGCACACGAGGTAGGAGGCAGGGTAGTTCCTAGGGACCCCCACTGGCCTAAGAAAGCCCCCAAGACCTCACCGTGTATGTTTCTTTGCAGAATTACGGTGAGTGGCTGCAGGAACTCAAAGAGAAAGGTTCCCAGCTGCTGAAGAAGCCACCAACTACCACAGAGCCCTCACCGGTAAGAGAGTCTGCAGAACTGGGGACCTCAGCAGGGGGCCACTGCCACCTGAGCTCTCATGTCCTCTAGGAAGAGAGGGTGCCCAGAGTTATTTCAGCGGGTAGCTGAGAGAAAGAACTTATCAGGCACTGGTCTGTCCCTCTGCCCTCAGGACCTGGCCTCCAAGTTGAGAGAGGCTGAAGAGACTCAGAGCACCCTGCAGGCTGAGTGTGACCAGTACCGCACCATCCTGGCAGAGACGGTAAGATCTGAGGATAGGCTGCGATACACGTTAGCTGGTCTCTTCAAGGGGCTGCTGGGAAGGAGAGCTATAGGGCCTATTGAGTGAGAGATAATGGGGTGTCTCAGATAAGCTTAGCAAAGTAGGTCACATCCACTCTCTGTGCCCCATTTTTTCGCTAAAGAGAATGGTGAAGGCTCTCAGGTATTCGTTGTTTTTGTGCTAGGGAGAGGGCAGAGTTGAAGCTTTGGGGCTGGTATCTAAGAGGGAGAAGAAACATGGTTGTAACAAGGAACCATGGAGCAGGCAGTGGTGGGGATAACAAGGTAAGCTTTGGGTTGACTGGGATTGAACCCTCTTTCTGAGACTTCAAGAGCAATGGCAGGTCAAGTCCTCCCCACCTTCTGACCAATTTATAGGGTCAGCACTTGTGGCAAAGTCCAAGTGACGAGAGTCCTGATGGCCTCGTTCAGGTCACAGACCTCATTTCCTGGTATGTCCCACAGCCAGCTTCTAGCCCTCTGTAGCACAGAGTCTTAACAGAACAAAGGAAGTGCCTGCAGGTTGCTGCAGGATGCTGAAGGGCAGGAAGACTGTATGTGTCTGGGGCAGCTGAGGGGGGAAAGGGTCATCTCAGTGCCTTTCTCCACCCCCAGGAGGGGATGCTCAAAGACCTGCAAAAGAGCGTTGAGGAGGAGGAGCAGGTTTGGAAGGCCAAAGTGGGTGCTGCAGAGGAGGAGCTCCAGAAGGTACCAAGGGCCTGCATACTTCCCCGGGGCAGGCAGCAAGGGAATTGCTGCAGGGCACAGGGAAGCCAAGCAATCTCTTCGAAAGATACACAATTAGCTCAAAATTCCACAAAGTCCAGGAGGGTGGTGGACAGATCATCTCTGTCACTTACGACTGTGTGTCACGGTTGGTGTTTTTTGAGGGATGCCTTATAAAGCATATTGCAGAAAGACGGTTGAGTTTCCTGGTCTCCAGGAGACCCCTGCTCCTGGTCTCTATTGGCTTTCATATCCACCCCCCAGGAAAAGTCTGCAGAGGCACCTGGCTCTGCCTAGAATGGGTGGGCATCAGTGAACCACCTGAGTTGGGGCTACTCCCAGGATTCATCCTCCAGATCCTCATGTCTCATGGGTCCTTTCCCTTACTTTGTAGTCACGGGTCACAGTGAAACATCTCGAAGACGTTGTAGAGAAACTAAAAGCAGAACTTGAAAGCTCAGATCAGGTGTGTTGGGGACTGTGTTCTGAGAGCTGCTACCTCTTGTCCTGTGAGTCTCTTTGAAAGTGACGTTATTACTAAAGCCACTTGAGTCATTTTTCCCTTTATGAACCACGTGTCTGAAGAGAAGCTGGTCTCTCCCTAACAAAGGATCTTGTCCTGTTTTGTCCAAATGAGGCATTCATAACCTCACAGGCCTGAGACAGCTGTGAGTCTTATACCAAATTACCTAGCCTTAGCCATCAGTGACTTTTGTCATGGGCCTCAGAATAGAGGAATGTGCTTGAGGGAACCTACTGCTCTTTGAGACACTGTAGCGAGCCCTGGCCTTGGAGAGTGTATCCCTGGTATCTGCCTTTGCTGGTACACCTAGGAGCTGTCTTTTCCCCAACTCCTCAGGTGTGAGGACATGGCAGGATCAAATAGTACTGGAGTTTGGATACTATTTCTGTTTTCAGTAAGGGGTTCTCTTATTAAGGTTTGCTTTTTTTTTTTTTTTTTGAGGTACTGGGGGTTGAACTCAGGGCCTACACCTTGAGCCACTCTACCAGCCCTTTTTGGTGAAGGGTTATTTTGAGATAGGGTCTCACGAACTGTACCAGTTGGCTTTGAACTGTGATCCTCCTGATTTTTCCCTCCTGAGTAGCTAGGATTACAGGCTTGAGCCACCGGCACGCAGGAAGGTTTTGTTTCTTCTTGGCCTCAGTTTTATCCAGTAGCTGTTGGGTCCCAAAAGCCCTCACTTATCCCAGTACCAGCCAGAATTAGCACCCATCACCCTATTCCCTGTGGTTAGTGCCCCCTGCTGGCCAACTAGAGGTTCTCATGTGTCTTTATGTGTGTGCCTGTGCCTGTCTGTCCAGGTACGGGAGCATACCTCATTACTGGAAGCAGAGCTGGAGAAGCACATGGCAGCCTCCAGTGCTGAGTGCCAGAACTATGCCAAGGAGGTAGCGGGGGTGAGTCCACACATGTCAAGGACCATCGTCCCATCCCTTTGTGGTCCCTGCCCTGCAGAATCTGGGTCTTCCCCAGAGTGACTCCTCCATAGTCCTTTGGGAGCAGCTCTTGTCAACATGAGTCTTAAAGTCTGTGGTTTCAAGCTTTTGCCTTAAGCCCTACAAACACCTCAGACTGATGGCGCTGAAGTGTGCCTTGGACCATGTTTCCCAAAGGTAGCTCTGAGGGCAACGCAGAGCTGGTGAGCCTGTCCTGCTGAGGACAGTACTTCATGTTCTAGGTTGCCCCCTCAGCAAGGGACTCTCCCTGGTTTGCTGATGTCATTTCCAGGAGGGGATGGTTTTAAATCTGATCCTGTCTTCTGACCATTCAGAAGCAGAGAGCACAATCCCAGCACCCCCATCCTGCCTTAATCTCAGACTTTTGGTCTTTTTCTAATGAGAGATAATGGGCAGGTGTTTAGGAAGGTCTGAGGTGGACATGAAGTGCACATCATCCTTCCTAAGTCTTCAGAAGATAAGTTTGTCTATAAGGAAGCCTGGCCCTACTCTGCTAATCTCCAGCGTTTGGGTAAATGGATGTGTTAAATCTTAAGTTTAGCAGCCAACTCACTGGAACTGGTTTTCTTTTTTTCCTCTCCTTTTTCCCCGTCACTAAATTTCTTCCCAAGCTGAGGCAACTTTTATTAGAATCTCAATCTCAGCTGGATGCAGCCAAGAGTGAAGCCCAGAAACAAAGTGATGAGCTTGCCCTGGTAGGTGGATGTTGTGTCCTGGGCAGGAGTGTGATGAGGGGGTTATGTGTGTGAGATGAATTTGCCAGTTGGGTTTTGACCTCCATTCATATTTCACAGTTTAGCAGAGGGACAGTGTCACCCATTAAATGATGTGGGGCAGACTTCATGGGGCCTTTTGCAGGTTTGCCCAAAACACTAAGCTAAGCCTTTTGCTGCCCAGACAATGGTAGTCCCACTCCATTTGCCATCTTCTGGCAGCCTGGTCTATTGCTCAAGGCAGTGAAAGCTGTGGGGATGTGCACACTTTGTGAGCCTGGCTCATTTTTTGTGAGCTTCCTATGTGGTGACCCCTGGCATTACAAGACCAGGTAACCTCAGGGGGTCCCTCCTGACCTGCCACTCATCATCTTGTGGCTCTCAGCAAGTCCCTGCCTTCTGCGGGGTTTCCTCACCTCATGATGGCTCAGATCCCTTCAGTCCTACCAATGGGAGGGTCTGCTTCACAGCAGCCCAGTGCTAGGCACAGACATGAGGAGCTGTGCTGCATAGGTGGCCTGAGTCTTGCTTGGTTTGCCCAGTTTTCAGTTATGGTGTCTGATCCCACATCTCAGCTGCTTGGCCATTCAGCCCCCACCCTACAGAGGCCTCATCATACCCAACATCTGCTGGGACAGGGCTGCAAGCAGCAGCCTGTCCTGTCACAGTATTCTCATTTGCACAGTCTTTTTAAAAGCCTTGTAATTATCAGCATTTTAGGAATTAAAATGTGCAGCTCTGGCTTCTAAGAGAAGACAGGATCTAGTAGATTGGGCTAACGTCCCCCACAGCACTTGCCAAGCCCCACATATGCTCCCAGTAATCCGCTTTGGCCTTGTCCAAGACTACTGTATGGTGTCTGCTGAGTTTCAGACCATTCATCTTGGCTCTTGACCATACCAGGTCTGGATGACAGGCCAGTTGTGGTACATTCAGTGCAAAACCTCCAGTGGCCTTTGTGGTCTTTCAATGGTGCAGTTAGGCTTTTGCCTTTGAGGGCTATTGGGGTGGCTCTTGGAGCAGGGCCTTTTGAATGGAGCCTGAGACTGGCATACCCCCTGGACAGCTAGCTCCTCCTGGGGCCTCACCCAGGTCTCCTGACTAGAACCTTTCCCAAACTCCCCAGGGGTCTTTTTCTAATGAGAGATAATGGGCCACTGCATGTGTCATTCACCCCAGCAGTAGAGCTCATGGAGTGGGTGTTATTAGACAAGAATGTCATTTTGTCATCTTTTCTAGATTCCAGAAAGGGCTTTGAGCAGGAGACCACATTCTTGAAGAACCCAGGGTTCTTCAAGAGGCAGTCTTGTCAGCTGCTTCTCTGCTGGCTCTGCATGGTTTGTGTCCATCAGAGGACCACCTCACTCCCAGGGGGGCCCCGCCACTTTACCTTGAGGCAGAGCTGATAGGTCTTGTTGGCCCAGAGGCTTATTGGCCTCATGGCCTGTATTTGGCTCAGACTGGGGGCTGTGGCCCTGGCCCAAAACTGTACAGGGCTCAGGATTTGGATGTAGGTCACAGATAAACCTATTGGGGCCATAGTGACTGAGAATAGCTGTGCTTCTCCAAGGGGGGGGGTGGGGTGGGTGTGTGTGTGTGTGTGTGTGTACACGCGCATGTGTGTGACGGGCCTGTGACCAGCTTTGTATTTGCGCAAACCAGCCCCTCCCTGTTTCAGGTCAGGCAGCAGTTGAGTGAGATGAAGAGCCACGTAAAGGATGGTGACGTGGCTGGGTCCCCAGCTGTTCCCACAGAAGTGCCCCCAGCCGAGCAGGACCCCATGAAGGTTAGGGTGGTTTGCTGGTCCTCAGACTGTCATTAACCACCCTGGGTAGAGCATAGGGTGGGCAGCCTCCATGCTGATGGAACCATGCACAGCCCTCCCAGGCCCACTAACACCCTTCTTACATACTTTGGTTGAGGAGCACACAGCATATGAGAATGATGCAGAACAAAGGGCAGGTGGCCAGGCAGAGAGGCCATGGTCTCTTGGCCCTATAGTGTGAATGAGACTTGAGGAGGCAGCCTGTAATTTGAGGTCTGTGCTTGTTGGGCTGAGGGAGCAGCCTTGGGTTGGGTCTGCAGGCACAGAAGGGAACTTGGCTCCACATGTGGCCCTTGCTGGGACATTACTAGTAGGACATCTGCTCTCCAAGGCAGCTGCTGAGAGCAATTACCATGAGCCAGCAATTGCCAGGCCTGTCACTAGGGTTGTCACTATGGGTCTGAAACATCTTTCTTGTCCTGGGGGGTCTTGTTAAAGGTTCCTGAGGTCACAGAGGCCCCCTTCACATCTCTTTTGGCTGAGGCACTGTCTTCCCAAAGGGGGTGGGAGAGTATTGGGAATGACTAATCAGGGCACGAGAAGCAGGGGGGTCAGGGAGCCCTAGAAGCAGCTAGAAGATGGGCCTATAGTTGTCTTCCCTTAGCTCCTGACCCCTTACCCGAGTCCTTCATCAGATTCTCAAGTTTGTGGTGTCTTCATACAGCTGAAAACGCAGCTAGAGCGGACAGAAGCCATCCTGGAGGATGAGCAGACACAACGGCAGAAGCTTACAGCTGAGTTTGAGGAGGTCAGGTTTTGCCCAGTGGCCCTCAGACCTGTCAGCTTTCAGGCAGTCTCCAGGGAGCTAGTGGGTCATCCCTGCCCTCCCCAGCCTCACCCCCACCAGGCACCTGAGCTGGGGCTGTGGGAGAGCAGTGGGATCCCAGCAGGTGGGCATAGTGTTGAGGTTGCTTTGCGAGCCTTGTGTAGTCTACATGCTGGTGATCAGGCTCCTGACTCCTTGTCCAGTGGGTTCAGCCTGCTTGAGTTCGCACCATTGCCCCATCAGGCTGGAGATGCCCCCAGTCTCCAGGTGGGCTCAGCTGGGTTTGATTGCTGGCCATTTGTACTGCATCTCATCCAGACCTGCTCCCCTCTCTGACAAGGCTCAGGCCACAGCGTGTCGGTTACAAGAGGAGTTGGAGAAGCTCCGTACTGCTGGCCCACTGCAGTCTTCAGGAGAAGAGGCCACACAGCTGAAGGTAGAGACTAAGGCTTGGGCTCTGCTCCAAGGCTGTGGCCACTCTTAGCTTCAGAGAGGGGCCTGTTAGGGGAGAGTGGACCCCAGCCCAGACTCTGACTTCTCTTGTTGCACCTGGTGGGAGGAAGCTGCGTCACATGGCATTGGCTGATCCGCGTATTTAAGTTCTGTAAAACCTGAAGTCATATTTTAGGTGTGTCTGGTGGCTACCACTCTGGACAGTACACAGCAAACCATCCCATTGTCCCAGGCCAGGAACTTGTAGATGCGAAGACAGAGGCAGAACCATCAGCATAGCTCTTCCCTCCAAGCTGGCAGTGCCTGTGTCTGGGGGAGGAAACGGCTTCCTTGCGCTGGAAGAGGGCTCTAGTCCCTGGCTGTTGGGTCTTCCTGCTGGTGTCACATGAAGACCGACCCCTTTAACTTTCTAACCCAAAGGACAGACTAGAAAAAGAGAAGAAGTTAACTGGTGACCTGGGGCGTGCCGCCACCAAACTTCAGGAGCTTTTGAAGACCACCCAGGAGCAGCTGGCAAAGGAGAAGAACACAGTGAAGAAGCTGCAAGAACAGCTAGAAAAGACGGTGAGTCTGTGCACACTGGACCGCCTTGGTTTGGCCCATGCTGGAGGTGAGCCCTGTGCCCCTGCAGGCTGGGCATGAGTCAGAAAGCTACTAGCAAGGGCTGGACATGGTGCTTAGAGGCCCTGAGGAAGAAGTGATGAGGACAGAGACTTCCAAAGTGGATGTTAGGCCACAGGGCCCAGCGCCCAGGAAAGCATGGTTCCTCCCAGGAAGCAAGCCTCTAGTCCTCATGCTGCAGCTTAAGTGGGCCTCTCATCCAGGTCCCCTGCCTCAGGCCAGCACCCTGCCTGCAGGACCAGGTGTGGTTCTCACCCACACTCGACACCCTCACGCTCCTCTGCACCCTTGGCTCTTACCTACCCCATTCCCTTCTCCCCCTGCCCCAGGAGACAGCTCTGGATCTCCAGCCAGGCTGGGCTCTTTCTCTAAAGTGCCTAAAGGGAACTGCAGGTCCTGGTGTGGGGTGAGTGACTGTGCCTTGGCTCCTTGCCCAGACTTTCTCTAATGTGCTCACTTTGTTCGCAGGAGGATGGAGGCAGCTCAAAGGAGGGCACTTCTGTCTGATTCTCTTTGGAAACTGTCCAGCTTACCAAAATGCCTTACACATTCCTTACAAATAAATAAATAAACCATCCAACACAGCGTTATCCAGGCCCACCTTCCAGTAGCTCCGAGAGAAGCCATTAGAGACAAGAGTCTCTTGGAACCACAGAAATAAATCTTCCAGACCCCTAGTCTGTAAAAGAACCTTTGTCACACTTGATAAACACTACTCCCAGGAGCAGCCCTGGACCACCCTAAGCAGACGCCAAAGCCCTCGTCAACTGCCAGACCAGGGTGTGCTGGGAGGCCGGGACACTCGGGAATCTGTGTCAATCAGTGCAATTACTGTGTATTTCACAGTGGGGCGGGAGTCAGGAAGTGGCCGGACTGGGTGGTGAGTTCTGAGGCTGCAGAGCAGACTGGTGGAGGGTCACGCACGATCCAGCCCAGTGAGGCAGCAGCCCCTCACCCCTGGAGGTTGCCAAGCAGAACTGATGTGTAACCTCCTGGATGTTTATGCCATTAAAACCAACGTGTTGCCCGGCGCTCCATCTTGTCTGCTCTTCTGCTGGGGCCCCTCCATCTGGCTGCTGGGCCCAGGATGAGGACCCAAGAGGTGCTGTGCCCTGGGGCAAAGCCCAAGTATGGGTCTTGGTTTCTCTGAAGGCAAGGGACCAACAGCTCTGTAGAATGGGAGGGTGAACCCACAGCTTCCTGGTCCCCTTGTGATTTTCCATCGCTTTCCAGCTTCTAGTGCCCACCAAGCAGGTAAGGTATCAGGGCCTGTGACACTCACTAGTCACATGCCCTCAAGGACCTGAGGTTTTGTGAGTGGGTCAGTGGGTGGTCTGGGCTGTTGTGTGAAATGAGCTCTAACAAGGTATCTGTCTCAAACTGAGCCTGGGTGGATGGCTATCACACCTCAGGAGGTGTGGTCTGGGGCTGCAGTAGCCTCCCTATGGAAGCAATTTCACTGGCAGAAACCAGCTTAGATTTTCCATGAACTTTATGCCCAGTGATCCAAGTTCCATTACTGCTCCATAGTCCAGGGGACCCTTGCCTGAGAGGTGTGGGAGCTTCTTGATGTGAGCAATGGGAACCTAAAAGCTTATGCAAAAAGCATCTACAGGCCTCATGTAACATTTGGGAAGTGAAGGGGGACACTGAGCAACTCTAGGCTTTTGGTGCCACCATCAACCCATCTTGTCAAGGAACTACCTCACCCAAATACTAGTCCATATTCATCTTCCCAACCATCATCCCTGAAAGTCCTAGAGAAGAATCTGATTTAGCTGGTCTTGGCTGGGGCACAGCTGGTCCCTTGAATGGCAGCTTCTCCAAGACAGCAGCATAAAGGGAGGATGATGGGGAGAGTGGAGCTCCCACAATTGTTCAGGAACTTGCATCTCATGGACCCCCTTGGGTGGTGGGTGATTCTGCTCTAGAGTGGCTGTCACAGGAACCTTGGGAGGCCTGTGTCTTTCTCGAGCCAACCCCTCCCTCCCCCTGACACACAGCATCTCCCAGGACTGGAGTGCACCTGTCTGTGGGCCACCGAACCATGCTGTGGTGCAACTATGTGTTAATGGTCCTGTTGGGAATAAGGCACTGGAAACCCTAAGAAAGCATCCTGGAGAAGTGGGCTTAAGTCAAGGTTCACAAGTAGAGGTGTCTGTTGGGGTACAGCAGGTGCATATGAGGGGAAGGTAAGGCTGAAAAGGCCTAAAGAACATGGGCTGGACTGGGCAAGGCTGTAGCAGCCACTTGGGTTTTAAGCAAGGTAGGGGTGGGGAGACAATTGTACCTGTTACAGAACTCTTGGGAGGAGGCTAACTTGGAGAGGGGGCCCCTGGGTCTTGACATTGACCCTGTGGTTTCTAGCTGGAAGTGGTGGACAGGAACACCTGATGGCCACCCAAGTGCTTGGATCTTGGCAACACTCCATCCTCCATGTAAGGTGAACTGAACCCTTCAGACACGAAGGCACCTTGCCTCATAAGTCACAGGACTAGCTCCAAACCCATTGCAACACTTGGGAGTACATGGGCAGCATGGGTAAGTCATTGTTGGGTGGAAGAGGTCTAGATCTAACCCCTTGAATAGATACCAGTGAGCCCCCAACATCTGCAGTGTCAAAACCACCTGCTGCATGCCCAACACGTGGAGCTGGAGGACAGGTTCTCCGTGAAAAAGGGCTAAGGAGGAGGCAGAACTCCACACAAGTGGCCACAGGGGAGGTCAGTGGTTTGAGGTCCTGTGGGTAGGGAACATAACTGTTCTGTGCCAGGATTCCGGCTGAATCACCACTGTGGGCCTGGGGAGCCTACATTTCCAATGAACTCCTCCCTCCCCACCTCCATGACTGCAGAACTGATAGCTCCCACCTAGGTAGATGCCCTCTTAAGCCACAGAAGGAGAGACCCTCAGGGAAAGAGAAAAGGGATGCAGGGGGTTACCAGGATGCTGGCTTTCGGTTTATGGACACAGTGGCCCTACTCGCTCCTCAGGCTACCCACTGATGCCATGTCCACCTATGAAAAGGGGGTAAGAAAAAGACAGGCATACATACTGCACTGCATAGAGCCCCAGGAGGCTGGCCTCAGAACTTGCATTTCCACTTTCTGGGGATCTGTCTCCTCCAGCTCTGAAGACCCATCATCTGTCATCTGCTCCAGCACTGGCATTTCTTGGGCCAGTAGAGGGAGCCCTAGTTGCTGGGCAATCAGCAGGGCCACTCCAGCTGTTCCTGGGTAAGGTTCCATCATCAAGCTCAGAAAAACACCTGAGGTAGCATCCCCACCACCCCTTCTCCCCATGTTCTTCAAGGTGGTACAGACACCGAAAGTGCTGGTACAGTGGCCATTCAAAGCTGCCTGTCCTGAAAAAGTGCAAATGCAGCAGCCACCAGCAGCATTTGCTGGAAAGCTAGGGCTTTTGCAGTCATGGAATGAAGCTGTGCACAGTACAAACCAAGAATCGCCAGTGGCACTGGACCAGAGAAAGCACCTGCTGCACCTCACTCGAGTGCCAGAGCTAAAAGGTGCCATGCAGTCAGCCTAAACCTTATCCTTTAGAGAAGACAGACGCCTAGAAATGCCTTGATACTCCAGGGTCACATAGCCTCTTACCCACCACCAGACCCAGAAGCCCTGTCATACAGACCACTCTCCATGTGACACCCTTTGAACTACACAGACACTGGGATGCCAGCCTGTAGGCAGCTCAAAACACCTGGAGGAGGAGTCAGTGCAGTGAGAACAAGTAGGGACACAAACGAGGCTGTGGTGATGGACAGGAGGGGCAGATGAAGCTTTGGGACCACTCAACTGACCCCCTACACAAAGGCCTTCTCACTGAGCTTCCTTCAGGTTTGGTGATCTCAGAGTCAGAGTATATTGATTTTTTTTGCCACTTTCAAATCCCATCCATGCCACAAAGAAGATTCAACCTTTAAATGCCAGATGTTAGACTCGAACTGGAATTTGCCAGGAATGGTGGGAATAGCCAAGGGCCAGAAATCATGAGATCTGAGTTTTTGTCCCAGTTCTCTGCTACTTATGAGTTAAGTGGCCTAATTAGGCACGTTACCTCAGGACTGGCTACTGAGGGACTGGCCAAAGGCTCTATAAGTTCTTTTCTCACTATCCCTTTGAGACAGCCTTGGCTATCCAAGCACAGCTGCTCAGTTTGAGTTGCTCAAGCCCACCTTCCCTGAAGTCCCAGCTCCTGGCTGGAACCCAGTTCTAGAGCTGGTTAATACAGAAATGCCCCAAATTGTAAGAAATCATTGTATCCTTGGGCATAACTAGTCCCCAGGGGTCCACAGGGCAACAAACCTATCAAGAAATAGGAGTAGCTATGTATCCAGACCAAGCCAGTAGTTCTGTAGAAAGGAGACCACTAACCTAACCCTTAATTCCGTTACCAAGTCAGTGTTCACTATTTTTTTCAGAGACGATTAGTACTCTCTGAAATAGCAAAACCTCACAGTCAAGCTCTCATGGAATTTGTTGGCACTGACTTTATCTGCTTCTCACGGCCCAAGAATAACCACTAGAAGAATCAATCCTAAGCAGCTTTGTACAACACATTTTTGTAAGTGTTAACCCTTGAACATGTTAAATGTGTTTTCTAGAAGCACAATATACTTGCAGTTTTGCTCCTGATCAGTGTCAGCAGGACTCTTAGGCCCAACTTTGGGTGCCACTAAGACGTCCCAAAAAGCCTTCTAAAATAGAATAGACTCCAGAGACGTAAGTAATTATCAGCACCTTCCCCACTTCTGAAACAAGAGTGGAAAGCTGGGAGGTGTTTACATTACAGACATACATACTGCTTGAAATCCTTTCCACAGCACGTCTCACATCTCTCATTAGCACATGTGTGTACCCACTTCTTTCTGAAGCAGAGTGGTGGTAACATACAGTGGGGCCACCTCACAAGCTTAAGTTACAGAAAGCTGTTCTTCTAAAAGGCCTTGTCCAATAGCTGGTCCCACCTTCAGGGCTGGTTCTTGACTAGGCAGCCTTGGGTGACACTTCCTTGCTGGCCTATTATAACAGTCACTAAAAGCAGTGCTTTGCATAGAGAAAAGAAATTTAGGATGAAGAATGCCAAGCAGCCAGCACTTTTCTGGGCAACTGTGAAAGAGATTCTGAGAAAGTATGACAGCTTACCATTTTTTCTCTAAAAGCCTGGCCTTTGGATATACATTTGGAAGTCAAGGGTACCTAACTTTTACACCAACATTTTCATTCAAACAGAGCGAAGGGAGCTATGACCTTAACTCTGTCAAAAATACCAAAACTTCGATGATTTGTCCCATATGGAAGGCAAAGTCTTCCATTCCCAAGTCGCACATGAATAATTACACAAGAGGTAAGTTAAAAACGCTTCCTTTATTACATAATGCCAATGCTGCTACTTCTAAGTTCAACTGTTCGTGCATCTCTATGTTGTTGAGTGTTGTGCCTGTGATGTTAATGACAACCACTTCCAAGTGTTATTGGGCAGTGCACTATCCCTTGTGAATGTCATCCATGGTACCTGCTCCCCATTCACACAGTCAACAAAGTGCTCTAGGAAATTAAGTTCTCCCAGGTCCCAGAGGAAAGAAACTCAATGTCTTCTATGTTTTACTGCATCAGTGCAGAACAATTCTTTCTGAAAGAGACGCAATTAAAGATCTGGCAGGTGTCCTGGCTTATCAAAATACGGCTTTATCATTTTCATTATCAAAGCAGATTACAGTGGAGCCCTAACGTGCTTTATGATTAGTTACAAGACAGTGTACATTCTCCTGAGGATGTACCATGATTTCCAAGATGCAAGGTCACTCACAGTGGTCTCTCAGCTAGTGGCTGCTCATTGCAGGCACAGTGGTGTCTCCTGGCCTCCAACACCCAGCTCGGAGTTGTGCTTTGCAACCTCAGCGTGAATTATAAGCGGACACAATTCTGAGGTCATCTCCATCATACATTTGGTAGAACTGAAAAACTGCCTGTCTTAGCCTTACTGTTGTCAGTGTATTAGTGTTAAATGTTTTAAGAAGAATTACATCCCATTATTCTGTTCAGATCAAGGAAAAATAAGGAATTAAGAATAATTTGGGGCCAAAATTATAACCAGATTATAACCAATCTCTAAGCAAAAGAAACAAAGTAACTGCTGAGGTTAGCAAAGATGTAATAATTCCCTTCACATGGCCTTGTACTGTTTTGTGAATTGTATTATTAAAAATCCTGAGCTCAAAAAACAGTTCTTTATAGGTCAACTCATCAAAACAGGCATTTGGCCAGTAAGAATTTAATTTCACACCAATAAAACTTTAGACTCTAGATTTATTTAGGGCTGTGTTTGTACATGTTTATAGAATATTCAGTTTACTCTAAAAGATGACAAGACAGCTCCCCCTCAGTGAGATCCTGGCCTAAATATATTTGCTTTACTTAGATAGCAAGAGGATAACATTAAACATGGAAGCTTTCAATCTGTGGCACTGATTCATCTACACAGGGCACCCTTCAAAGGCTACAATTAAGGATCCACCTAGCTTTTCAGCAATACAAGCTCGATTGAGGTCTTCTGGCCCATTTGCTTGACATTCATGCTTTATGCCTAGAAAGAAAAAACAATAATCCTATTAAGAATTACGGCAGCAGCTCACCTATTTCTCTAATATATCAAATTGTTTTTAAAGACCACTTGTAATATGGATATAAACACTGGTATTTATAAACCATGGAATGCCATATTAATATGTAAATACATGCATCAAAATGAATGACACTCACAAACATAATGTTGATTGAAAGAAGCCAGAAAAACAAGCTGACATCCTGAATGATTCCATTTGTATCACAAACACAATCAGCCCAAGCTAACATGTAGTTGAAGCCAGGCTATATTGCTACTCTTGTGGTTCAGGGGGAAATGGAGGGGGGAATAAGGGAGGCTTCTGGAATACTGTCATTAGATCAAAAACCATTAGCTTCAGTCTGTGAAAATTCATGGATTTCTGCAGTAATTTGTGATGTTTGCTATTCTACAGCTATGTTATACTTAAATAGTAAAAAGGCAGGTTTAGCAATTTTTCTTAGTTTTTAATATAAAAATTATGTGTTTTGATTGCCCAGCTGACTTAGTCAACTGCACTGGAAAGCTAGCCTTAGAAAAGAAGCAGGTCTCCAGTGGTGCAATGCTGCAACCTCCATGAAGCTAAGATGTGGCACTGATGGTGTAAACTACCACCATGTAGAATAACTATGGAACTGTGTAGAGTAGTTTCTCTATAAAGAACTGCCATACTTTAAATAGCTGCATTGTTACTCTACCATTTCAAGATCCTTTCTCAAGCTCTGCTAAAAGCACAGCAAGTTTGCTTTGGGGCAACTTCAGACTGATCTGAGAAAGCCAGTAATGATTTCACTAGGAAAAAAGTGACAAGGTGACTGTCAAGTCTTTTCAGCAATTCCCTTTACTGAAAAGCAATACACAATAAAGACAATGAGGAATCCACTCTGACTCTTTAGCTTCATCATTAAAGTACTGAAGCTAAGGAGTCACTTGAAAGCGTCTGTTAGCAGACAAGTGAATCCACTTCTGGGGGTGCCCCAACATCAGCCCCAAAACAATAACTGGGTGGCATCAGGGTTCTGAATAGGGAGGTAGAATTCTGTTTCCTACCTAAGGAAAACAAGTGAGGGCAAACCTGTTCTACAAGAATACAGGAACCAGTCACAGAAAAGCGAAACCAATGCTTGGGCAAACCCTTGTGTCCTTGGCTCCCACAGCTGTTTGGGTGGCAGGGAGGTGGCAGACACTCAGACCAGACCTTCTGTTCCAAAGCTGAGAGAATCAAGGCCCATGAAAGTTACATGGTTCTAGCCAAGGTCACACAGCAGTTGAGACAGCAAGCTTAGCCCTCAGGGCACACACCCCATGCTCTTTCCACCATACCAACACTTCCTCCTGGCTGAACTTGGGCCAGGCCATCTCATCTGGACCCCAGTCACCCAGTGGCAAGTCAAATAGAACTGGCCAGCTCAAGGTGAGTGTACTTTCCTTTGGACACAGTTGAAATCAATTACCTAAAATCATACCATTCCATAGTAAAGCTAGAGATAAGAGCATTCTTCCCTCTTACAAACATTTCCGTTTTGCAACTTTATCAACTACATTCAAAGTCAATAGGAAAGTGATTACTTAGTATGACCAATGTAAACCACAGGCTACATGAGAAACTAGTTTAAAAGCAGCCTGAGTTGAACATGGTGGCTCACACCTGTAAGCCAGCACTCAGGAGGCTGAGGCAAGAGGATTGGGAGTTGAATAGTAGGCTAGGCAACATAAGAGTTCAAGGCTAGCCTGAGCTACATAGCAAGAAAGACCCTGTCATTTAGGAGAAAAAAAAAAAAAAAAAGCCTGAACAGGTGACATACAGCCAATAATGAAGTAACAGAGTTATAAGCCCTGCAGCCTAGTGTGACTAGCCCAAGGAGAAGACACTCAGAGGGCATTTATTTCCAAACAACGCACTGCTTCTCCCTGATTTATGCCCAAATCTCTCCAAAGAAAATGAGGCGCTTTTTAAAAAGTTATAATCCCCATTCCCAAGGGCTCACCAAACCTCTAAGTATGTGAAAGCAATTTAGCCCATACCTTGGAATTTCTTTTTGATGGCATCCTTGGAGCTTGCATAGATCATTTTACTTTTCAGAGGTGCTAGTTCTGGTGCCCTAGAAGGAAGGATGCCAAAAATGAAAAAACTAGTTTAGAGAAAAGTACAACTTGCATTTATTAAATGATTCACATCAGTGAGGGGGTTGGAGAGGGTGCTCAGAATCTCCTGAGAGAGGTTTTCTATTTCTCCACCTCCTCACAGGGTAAATGCAGAATCACTCAGGTTGACCAGGGTAAATAAAAAGTCAAAACTATTAATGAAGAGTAGAGAACCACTGATCTGAAGTCAAATTAATGTGACCCTAACAAGAACAGACACCAGATACTTCACTGTATACACTGTATAACCCAATTCATTTTTTTAAAAATGAACTGCTTTTCACTTTTTATTAATAAAGGCATGAGTTCATGTTAATAATCTTACTTATACAAGTGTTTTCACAGTTTTTCTAATCGAAAAAAGTTCCAAAACACAAACATAAGTATCTGCCAACCCAAAACTAAAAATGCTACCATTTTGACATTTTTGCTTCAGGTTGTTTTCTAAAAAGAAATAAATAATAAATCAAGTAAAAATACCCTTAACCCTTCCCTGTCCTTTCATTTACATCTATTCCAACAGGAGATTCTGACCACACAAGCACTTCTTTCTTATCTTAGTCTAACATAAAAGGGTTTCAATGCCAAATTGGAAGTCAGAACCAGAATTTCAATAATTCTCTTGAAAAAATATTAATATGTATAACCTTATGATTCTAAATACAGCATTCACAAAGATTTCTCTTCTTGTAAGCTAAATGGCAATAATTCCATCTACACTGCTTCAGAACAGGCAAGTGTTTGAGTTAAAAATCAAGTGGGCACTTTTCTTATGCAAAGTGGTTAGGACATGAAAAAGCACTAGCTGCTCTGATTTTACTCTTACCACATTGCTGAAATACAGAAGAGTTGCTCCCTGACAGAACTTGTTATGGAAAACATGAAAAGTTTTACATTTTCATAAAGTAAGCTAATAGTGCAAAATAAACCACTGCACTTACTCTAAATTTCCTTTCCTCTACTTTTAATTTCCAAATGCTCTTTAATTAAGTATAATTTTCATAGTGAAAAAATACATTAAAAAAATGAGAATGAAGGAAATACGGACCCACTTAAAAGCCTATAGCTTTTAACAACCTGTAGCTAGCATACCTTCCCCTCAGCTGTAAATCCCACAAGGCAAGGGACTTTATCCATTTTATTCATAGTTGCTTTCCCAAGCCCTAACACAGTACCTGGCATAGAGCAGAAATACAGTTTAACAAATGTGTCTTACGTTTTATCAACTATTACCTTGTAACTAATACCAGTTTCAATGGAGAACAAACTGCTCCAAAATATGCACCTTGACTCTCCTACTTGCATCCCTACAGCATCTTGGTTTAACCAAGTACAATACAAAGGCTTGCTGAAATGGACCTGGGGTATGACCCATTGTTAACTTCATTTAAAATCCTTTGACCTCCAGGCTCACATCTCTTTTCACCCTAAGCTGTGTGTTAGTGGGGCATAGCTAAGAGCTAACAGCCTCCCAGCCTTGCCCCAAGCTCAGGCCAAAAAGTCTGCCATACCCCAAAGGCAGAAAGTGTTACCACTTCTCCTTTCCCTTAGAAGCTACAGAACATTCCAGCTATGTGTCCACCTGACCAAACCAAGACATGTGGTCTAATACAATTAAATGGGGAATACATGGGTCATTTTTATCTAAGGCCTAATCTCAAATACTGACTTACTCAAAAAGCCCAGAATGACTATTTTAAACAGCATGTCATAAAAAAGGCAAACACATCACTTTATAGTACTGTCTAGAGAAATGATGTCCAACAGAGCTTTCTGCAACAATGAAAATGGTCTATATTTGTGCTGCCCAATACAGTAGTCACTACTCATATGTGGCTGAACATATGAAATGTAGCAATTCATTCAACTGAGAAACTGAATTTTTAATTTAAATAGTCGCATGTGGCTAGTGGCTACCCTACTAGATATGCAGACATATAGCAAATTACAGTGGGGAAGGAGTCACACCAACTTATTCAACAGTAGCAAACAACAGAGGCACAAGGTTATGCACCTAGAAGAGTAAGAGGCTGATTCTTGGGATGGCATGTTGGAGAAACAGGGTTTTGGCTTCTAAGTAGGAAACTTTAGTAGAAGAAATTTTTAGCTTATAAACAGTGGGTTCTGAGAATACACAGAAACCTACCTCCTGTCCTTCCCCTACCAAAAATACCAACTACTGAAAATCATGGTTTTTCAAGCAGACTAAGTGATTAAGTTTTAGTCTGGTCCCACAAACATCAGTCCAGCTAAGACCTTGTAAAATCTTATAAAACAAAAATTAAATGATGACAGCAAATAGCTTGAGTAAGAATTACTATGGTCCTGGAACTGGTTCCCCAAGTACCAACTATGAGATTAACTCTGAGTTACAGACTCAATGTTTCCAAACACTTACCACAAGAAAAACATCAACTCTTCTTTTCTAGATTCCTTGGTTTCAAAGCTTGCATCATACAAAGCATAACGACAATCTTTTTCAGGAAGCATTCCCACGAAATGCTTGAAAGGATCGGTTATGGTAACACCAACATCTCCAACCAAGATCTCTTTGCCTTCTTCAACAATGATGCACTTTTTGTCTGCACTGAGGCAAAAAATGACAGCCTTCTTTCTTTTCTTGATTTCTTCTGGTGTGGAGCATTTCCGAACTTTCATGTCATAAAAAATGCGACATACTTCATCAGCAACTTGCACTCCCGAGGCCTATAATGAGAAAAGAAATGCACAAGAAGCTTATACTTTTTATCATGCCAAACATAAAACAATACTTCATTTTTGGCTACAGATTGGCAAATATATATAATTTTCTGAGGTATATTTATCATTCAATAGAAAAACTAAATAACCTAACATGTAATCACTACTGATTTCAGACATCAAGCTTTTTTTAAAGCTTACATATACTGTGAAAGACATTCTTCACCATTAGGTAGGATAAGAGGAAATTCAGTCATAGCAGCTTCTCCTATGCTTCTTAAATGCTGAGTTATGTTTTTCTTAAGCAGGGTTTTTGTGTATTCCTTTCCTAATGCAGAGGTAATGTTTAGAGCTAATGGGTTGGAAATAACTTTCCCACAACATCTCTACCCCTAACAAAAAAAGAACTATTTAAAGGTCTGTGTTCTACTCACATTCCAAAATTACAGGATCAATATTCAGTAAACTTGGTCACTTGCAATTAAAATTTCACTTGTAAAATCTCTAAGTTTTAAATTAAAACAAATAAGAAAAAATGTTAACCACTAATAACAAAGAGAACAGGTTAATTTGGGGTTATACTGACCAGAAAAGTCAGTATATACTAACCAGAACTTTTACCATGTTGTGTGTGGTATCTGGGATGAACAGCTAAGTAAGATCTTGATAGCAAAGATCTTAAAGATCTTAAAACAGCTTTTAAATTCTTTTATCTTTAAGGGATGTGCTATTTATATTAGCTTTACTATCTAATATTTTTATGCTTCACTAACTACTACTTTGATTTGTGTGTTAGCTTCTCTAAAGCAAGAATGAAAAACTTAGAACTGAAATACTAAACAATGTAAAACTACTGACACCCAAAATTAACATCAAGTAATTTAAGAAAAAAACCTGCATGAGAAATGAAAAGATAACTTACAAAATGGGAAAAAATATTTGCCAGTCATGTAAGGAGCTTGTATTCAGACCACATAAAGAATGGCCGGGTGCAAAGGCTCATGCCTATAATCCCAGCTACTCGGGAGGTGGAGATCTGGAGAATCCCAGCTGGAGGCCAGCCCAAGCAAAAAGTTGGTGAGGTACCATCTCAATCAATAAGCCAGGCATGGTGATATGTACCTGTCATCCCAGCTATATAAATAGGAAGATCACAGCCCAGACTCCCCAAATCAAAAATACAAGACCCTATTTGAAAAATAACTAAAGCAAAAATGGCTAGGGTGTGCCTAGGAAGCACGAGGCCAAGTTCAATCCCCAGTACTGCCAAAAAGGAAAAAGAAAGAACCCTTACAACTCAACAATAACAAAGACAAATAGCCTAATTAAAAAATAATCAATGGATCTAAGTAGACATTTCTCCAAAGAAAATATTGCATGCAAGTACCCAACAAGCATGTGGAAAACATCAATAGTCATTAGGAAAATGCAAATCAAAATCACAATGAAATTCCACTTCACACTATTATGATGGATTTTTAAAAAATGGACAGTAACTGTGGAGAATCGGTTCCTCCTGCATTAGGGCAGAGGAATAAGCAGGCAGCAAGCACTTTGGCAGTCCTTCAAAAAGTCAAACGCAGAGGTAACAGACCACCTAAGAAGTTTGCTCCTAGGTATACACACAAGAGAAACGAGCACTTACAAACAACTGTACACAAACAATGAAGAAGGAACCGACAGATGCCTGCAACAACTTTGAAACCATCATGTTAAGTGAAAGAAGCCAGGCAGCCACAGATAGCAGGACTCCATGTATATGAAATTCCCCAAAGGCAAATCCATCGATAGTAGATTAGCGGTTTCCAGGGGGCTGAGAGGAAGGGAAGAAAGAAGTGACTACTGATGGACATGGTTTTCTTTAAGGAGTGATGAAAATGTTCTCTAGTCTGACAGGGATGAGCAAGATACAACTCTTGAATATTCTGAATTGTACTTTATGGCATGTGAATTGTATCTCAATAAAGCCATTGTTTAAAAATTAAGAATTCTAGAGGGTAGAATATACTGAGATCCTAGCATTCACTTCATATTTTGGTAATCAGGCCATTTTAATTATCTCATTCATTAAAAAGAGTACTAAATACAATATACTTCAGTCCTGCCTAATCTAATCCTCCAACAGTGACTCAAAAGTTTGGAGACAATGGATATTTTTACAAAGAGAATTCAGATGATCAGAGTGAGCTTTTGGAAAGTATGTGGAGCTATGCCTAAGAGGACGAAGACAAGAACAGGAAGAGAACTGCAGCAGGAACACCAGCTAAAAATCCACAAGGCAAGGGAGAGGTGACAGACCCAGCCTGGGGAGTGGCAGCAGTGGGTGAAGGAGGGGCACACTGCACAGCTGCAATCAAACAGACTTGAAAATCACTGGCCTGGAGAGGGGGGATGGAAAGGAAGTCAGTTTGGCCAATGTAGGCAAATGCTCACTCTCCTTAATCTTTCCTCTGGGTGGCTTTAGATGCCTTACTATTAGAGTAGTATCAGTCTTCATGACACGTGACATTTTAATACTAAACTATGCCTGTGAAAATAACCAATCCCCCAGTACCGTATACTTTAGATTCAATGATTATACTTAAAATTGTAACACCTGGATTCAGGTATAGTACAGTCTTGAAATAGCATCAACATGAAAGAAATTAAGATTAAACAACTGGTTCCTAGATTCTTCGTAATGATTTTTACATAGTAAAACTAAAATCATGTGGGCGGACTGAGAAAGCAGGGAATATGGAATGTCTCCCTAAACCTTGCCACACAGCCCAGGTCTCTTCCCCTCCTTTCACCTCTATTCTCCTAGTGCCAACATATCTTCCCTCAGCAAGCTGGTAGCTCTTTTACCTTTAATTCTGATGGGTGAATTAGAAACTGGGGTAAAAATTATGAGTGGGATGGACAGAATCCTCAAGTAATTGCTCTTAGTTTGTTACTATCTTGGAGAACATGAAATGAAACCAAGATCAAGGCAGCAAGTTTATCCAAGCTTCTCTTCTAACTAGCTATGTCACCTAAGGCAAGGTATTCAAAATCTTTGGATTAAATGAGTTCCTTCAACCATAATTGAGGGTATGCAGACCAGTTATTATCAAGCTTTAATGTGCAAAGGAATCATTTGCAGATTTTGTAGATTCTAATTCATAAGATCAAGGGTAGAGTCCATGAGTCTCCATTCACACAATAAGATCCAGATGAATCACTTAAAAAAAATTACTGCTATATTTACTTTCACCTATACAAAGTTTTTACAATGAAGCGGTAATAAGAGTACATTACAAATACTTCTAGGTACAAAGTCACAGCATTTGTTTTCACATGCCATGGACTTCCAGCAAAGCTTATGGGCACATTCTCAAGTAATATTTCAAATAAACACACAGGATTACACAAGAAGCCAATTCTATTAAAATATAGTTCATTTATGATGAAGGTTAAAAATCCTTGTATTAATTTTGGTGGCTTTATTATCATGAAGCAATATTATAATGAATCTTAAATGTTATTGCTTTCAACATTGATATCCAGAATCATTCTTTATTGTTATTCTGTGCTTTTAACTAATAGAAAAGGTCCTCTCTATTAGACAGTGGCCATACCACCATGAAAGCACCCAATTCCTCTGGTGTTAAAAGCTCAGCAGGGTGTGGCCTGCTTAGTACCTGGATGGGAGGAAAGGTCTTCCCTCAATCTCATTCTTCAGTATTTCTCTACAATGTTAGATTACTAAGATATCTAACTACTCACCTGTCAAGAATTCTAAAGTTTATCTTAAAAAAGAAAAATAAAATTCTTTTATTTTAAAGTTAACTTAAAAAAGTTATTGATATTTAAACACACAGTTTTAACAATAAAGACCATTAAAGGATACGCTGAATGGAGCACTGAAATTGGCTGCACAGCTGGGAAGGAAAATCTTGAGAGTAAAAATAGATCGCTATCACAAGAGCTCTGTGATTACCTTAAAAAGATATGTTATTCACAACTGAAATTTCTCCATGTTCTATACCAGGGACCACTGGAGAATAACACTGCTCTTAGAGCTCCACCCCCATGTCAAAACAGTTGCTGTTTAAGAAATAGGTTGCTGTGTTTTATCTCTCTTGGCTGTCAGCTTCTAACTTGTGCATGGAGTATGATGATCTCATGCCTGTATGAGTCTCCTCTGCAGAGCCTTTATAAAATGCTGATCCAGAGGTTAAGTCAATATTAAATTCACTCCGTGTATGCTTCTTTAAAGGCCCCTACTCTCACACACACAAAAGATAATGTGGAACACTGTATATTTTAAAGTTGCAAGTGGCAGAACACAACTTAAAATATCAATTCTCTCAATTCTAGCATGAAGGTGATAACCATTCATACTGAGCATTAAGTTTTTCAAATCCAATTTCTGTAAACAACTGTACTAGTTCAAAAACTAAATGCATGATTACTTACAGCACTCCATCTTAAACCAGAACATCAGAAATAGTGGCCTATTTCTATAATACTAACTCAAGTAGGATACCTGACCTTGGCTCAATAATTAAAGCCAACTACACTTTACCTAAGTCTACTTAGAGAAAACAGGAATAAAAGCTATGTTAGTTATCTAAGAAAATTATTAATTTTGTCAAAACTGTTTGTAAACCAAGAGAGTCTGAAATATTTGAAAGTAGGATATTATGTAGCAGACAAATACAACTTCAAATTAACAAACTGACAGAAAACAGTGGCTCCTTTCTCATCCTGGGAGTTTAAAATTAGGTTCATTTACATCATGCCTTGAATAGGGGCCAGTAGAAACAGAAAACAACTAACAACAAAACATTTGGGGTTGAGCTACAACTGATGCCTCAGCATCAACAAATATAATGAGTGCTTTAGGCACATTTCTCCGTAGAAGGGTCAATGCCCCAACTGGGGTGGCGGAGTGGTGGTAGACACACACATCTAATTTAACCCCTTACCAAAACTCCACTGGAAGTTTAAGAAAGGGATTAATAAAACACAAGCCTA